TATATATATATATATATATATATGAAATCATTAATGACATTATTTGTATATATAACCACAGAAATGTCATGCGATGTAAAGGGGACAGGAAAAGAGAGGAAATAAACAAATGGGGTAAAGTAGTTAGTAAACATGGTTAGGTGCTGAGTGAAAGGGTGGCAACAATGACAACAACAACAAACAACAACATCGATAACAACAACAGCAGCCAGCTGTTGATGCAAGCTCAACTTGTACGTTGATACCACAATTCGTGTAGCTTTGATTTTCTGCAGTATTACGAGCTGTGTACCAGTTACACGGACGAGATACATGCCTTTATGTAAAAGAAGCTCACATTCGAAATTTTTGACTTACTAAGAAAGGGATTGGATTCGGTTTTGCTTTAAAATTAGTTACAGACGACGTTCTGCTTTAAAATTAGTTACAGACGACCAACTCATACGTGGGTACAAAATATTCTATCATTATGCTGTCGTTCGGCGCTAAACTTGTCAAACAGCAATAATATTGTTGTTTTTCTGTACATATATGCGTAGATTACGAAGAATTCTTGGTAGTCTATTAATGATCACGTCATCCAATGTGCAGTACTACCGATTTGATGTTTACATGACTCTTTCAACAAATAAATGTTGTTTTTTATAAAGTGTCGACAACGTGAACTCTTTGTTGACGTTATTATTTTTTTAGATCACCAGTAACATTATTCATCATTTAGTTCTTCTACAGAAAAGAGCAGCGACGTGGTTCATTATTCGATTATATAAATAAGAAACAAAATTACGTGTGTTTCCATCACAATACCTTTGTCAGCAAAACACTGTCTATAAAAAACAGAAAGAATCGCTAAGTACAGCTTATTCTGCAATTTTCGAGGTTATTTTCACCTTTCTATAATATATATTAACAAAATTTACAACCTAAATGAACGTTATTTTTCCATCGCTTCGACGGTTTTTTCGTTATTTCTTTTCTAACTGATACTTTCTCATTCTAAGCAACATGTGAAAAAAAAAAGAAAAAACGAGTAGGAACGAAGTAATAATGTTATTTGTTCGTCAATAAGGGTAAAAATGAGGAGGATGTTTACGACGGGTTCAACACAACGAGAGAGGAACAGCGTTATGTACACAACGATCTTGATGTGGTCTGCATGCGTGCACGTGTGTCGGTGCATATGTGTTTGTGTGAATGTGTATGTGTTATGTACAGATAAGTGTGTATACATATCAATTTTTTCATGTAAAGCTATTATATATTTGCCGTATAAGAATATACGTGCAGACAGTGATACGAAAGGGTTGTTGACAAATTGGAAAGCATTAGTTAAGTAAAAACGTCACAATCAAAGTTGATGAATGTACGAATGCATGGATGGATTGAAAAAGTACAGGTAAATATGCAAGTTTTCACGTTTTTGTCATATTTGATTGAGTATTTATATATAAAAATATAAGCTAAATTGAAGCATTGGACCACAGATATTACACTTGAATATCCATGCTTAATTATACTAAGTCGATAGAAAACGTCGTAAATAAACAAACAAGGATATAACTTATGATGGTAACTTCTTTATGGCTCATTACTATTAAGCAGCTGAAATAGGAAAAAAGAAAGGGAGAGGAAGAGAGAGATAGGAGGGAAGTTGTCTAATGTAATGGCCAAGCAATATGAACACTTTTCTGTTTACATTTACATCAAGGAGGGAGGCGAGCAAGGCTACGGGTAAACAGCGAAGTAAACAAGGCCTGTGAGCCTTATGCACTGCTGTTGGTGCATTTGTGAAGTGAGGAGTGAGTTCGGTGCTGAGCGCAGCTGCCCCCAAATATTTTCTACATTTTCCTACTCAAAACCGCTCCTCATGGAACAAACGGTTCGTTGTTTGTTTTTCCTCCTTTGCAATCATTTATTCTGCCATCATCTGACAAACATTACAGAGCTCCTCAGGTGAGCAACTAACCTAACCCTCTGAAGAGTCAATTACCTAGAAAATTACTCATTGATTCGCTCAAAGATACCTGTTTATTTGCATGACGGAGATCAACTTACTTTGTCGCTGAAACAGTTACTATTATTTTTTAATCTTATTGAGTTTATCCTCATTCACATGCTCACTTTATCTTTCCTGACTTTTTCTTCTGCTTAATTTACTGTTTGTTTATCTTTAGCAAAGTGAACACTCTGAGGTTTATATGTGAACAAATTACTTACTACCTATTCCCTAAAGATTCAGTACACAAACGTGAAAAACTTTGCGAAGGATAAATCGTTGTTTTATTTTATCCAATGCATTTATGTGTTGAAAATTAAAGTAGTGGGTATGGCATTTAATTTGTTTAACAAAAGTGATAAAATGCATCATTTGTAATCACGCGGTATTTTCGAAGCCTTAATTAAAGGTCTTACAGTTATTAATAAATGATGAATTTGTCTTTTTAAACGAGAGAAAAAGATGCGGAGAAAAAAAAAGCAGAAGAGAGGTTCTTTCATTTGTAAATGATTATGGGACATGGGAATTTCTATTAATCTTTGACAGTTAATATCTCGGTGAAAGGATCAAATTTCAGGGGTCAGCGAATATTTCAGTCAACAACAATCATTCAAATCCAAATATCACAAAACAAGAGTCAGGCGTAATGCAGCGCAATGAACAAGCGCAGGTAAGCGCTTAATTTATAATTCATAGAATTCCATTTTCGTGTTGGGTTTCTTTGTTCACACATCTGAAATCATTAGGTTTGAAGCAGAATTTTTTTATAAAGTACTTTATTTCATCTTATCACTTCTGTGCCTCTTATATTACTATTTGTTAACGTTTGCTTGATGCCATTATATGGAGCAAATTTGATTAATGAATGGACGCAGACACTACTAATTTTTGAGGCGGGAAAAAGATAAAGATATTTCAAGTACAAAAATAATGCACAGTTTCTATCATAATTATTTAAATTTATAGTATCTGCAGCACATTTTCCATTTCTTTTATTATTAAGGCTGAGCAAATGTTTCTGTTGGCTTTACACGAACGTTTCGCTCAACAGTTACGACCTCAAACTGAAATGCATCGAATATGGCAAAATATGATGCTTGGGTTACCAACTTTGTTGCCACCACTAGATATATCCTCATTACCAGGCACTAGCCAAGCCTTGTTGCATCCTCTCTATCAGGTTGGTCAAAATTTGACGAAAAATTTAAAAATTTTCTCATCCATTATCACTTATTAATGCATAATATTCTTGATCTTAATCCATTTCTGACTACTGTCACAACTAAATTATGACCTCTCTCACATGAAACTTTTTCATTTTCTTTTCTCGCACACAAAAATTGACAGCAAATATAGTTTGATTACAACACTTTAATTTATCCATCATAATTTATCGCAGATCGCAACCCTTTTTGAGTTATTAATAGCACACGGTAGATGAAATGCAACTCAATATAATCCATCTCTGCTTTCTTACACACAAATCAGTTGAGTGAAGAGAAAAAAGTAAAATTTTTCCAGCTCCATATAATCGTCTTAGTGAATGTTATGGCTATTGTACGAAAATTAAGCTCTTTCCATCTTTGAAGTACCAAACTCTGAAGGAAAGCTGACGTTGAACTTGTGTATTTTCATTATGAATGTCTATTGATTATCGCTATAAAAGAATTTACCGGCAATAAATTAAAAAACGGTGCAAATCTTTTTGTTATTTTTCCTTCGGTATGAAATACAGTTGTGCCATGGTATGAGTTTGGTAGTCTTAATTTTTAGAAATAAGATGGATGTTTGAATTATTTCTATTATGATTGACAATGGAATATTTACTTTCCAAGATTATTCATTTTTTGTGTTAATCTAGTGTGCAACAGAATTTTTGCAAGACATTAGTGGAGGTTGTGAATCTTTAATTCATCTATTTCAAGCAATTTATAAGTACTTCATAAATATTTTAACCATTAAGCAATCTTGTTACTTTTAATTGTTATTTCGATTTCATTTTGAAATTGATGTAATTTAAAGTGCAAAAGAAAAAATGTGGATAAATCATATTGGGTATTTATTCGATTTTACTGAATCAGTAAAATCTAGTAGTGATAAAAAAAATATTTTAAACAGAGCAGTAGATAAAAGTTCGTTCGTTTATTTTGAAAATCAGAGTAAGGATGAGAAGGATGGCACACAGTGATTGTTTATAAGATGTGCAGTTTAGCTTTTTCTGCTTTCCTTTACTTGTTTAGTAAACAATTATCGAAATGGGAGAGTAGAAATAAATGATAGTAATGATGGAAATGAAGTAAACAAGTGCATTTAATTTGTTTTTAATATACATATTATTCTACATGCATAAATAGAAGTTTCTACTTGGAATGCTCAATACCGTTTTGTCTGAAAATTTATTCCAAGGGATTTAGAAAATAGTGTTGACGTAACTTTTTCTTCCAAAAATTTTTTTACTTGTTCAAAGCTTCATGCCTTTTTGCTCTTTCAGCTATTTTGATTAGAAAAGGAATCAATCTGATGACAAATTAGAATTTAATCGTTGTCTGATTCAATTTTTACACATCTTTAATATCATGAAATCTTGGATTGTGTTGTATATCTTTAATTGCGAGCGTTCCTAGTATGAACTATATATATATAATTTATTTAGCAGAATAATGTTGGTGTAAATGGTTGTAAAAGTTTAAAGTGGAAGTAATTAGGAAGTATTTTAAAAAATGACGATGAATTACAGTGGAGAATGTTACATAACACATTCGATAAAAACGTTCTCGATCTTTTTAAATTGAAGTATTTTTTTCTTATGAAAAATTAAATTTTATAAATGCATGTTAAAGGCGTTGACTTCGTTTCGGATGGAATTGCATTTCTGCAGAAATATTCTCTCATCTCGCTGACTGCAAGAAAAATGTTTCCTTCTTTTCGAAAAAATTTTTGCCATCAGTAACAAAAAGTTGAAAAATATTTTTGTTTTTTGTATGTGCATTGCTTTTTGAAGTTGTCTTCATTTGTTAAAGCTATTTTTTGAAGTAAAAATAAATCAGCATATCAGCGAAGAAGCAGTGGACAAAATTCAAAATTTTTGCATCCTTTAAAGAAGGCAAATAGCGAGTAGCTGTTGTAAAAGTTAAAAAAGAAATCATGTTGCAGAATATCTTGGTCTTTTTCATCAAATACATTTTGTGTGAGATGAAACGAGTAATGCGAAAATTACATGATATGAAATTTTTGTTTCTACTGTTTTTTGAATATTTATTCCATTACTAATTATAATTTAACTTTCGTGTTTTTTACATTATTTTTTCAATAATTTTTGATGTATTTGTAATTTTAAAATACCTGAAAATTTTAAAAAATGAGCTTGCGAACTTTTAAATAATAAAACATTATGTACGGTATTGAGAGACGTAACTGGAGTGAATAGCGTTAGTTGAGGAACTGAATAACTGATTTGTTTTATATGCCGAATATTTGATAATTATGTGAACAAAGTTAGAGATATTATTGCGTCTTCTGGATGATCCTCATAGATGAGTTCATTTTTTATCTTTTCATTTCCACTGTATACTTTTTTAATATTCAGTGCTTGCGTCTATCTTTCAACTTTTCATCGTAAGTTGTACAATTTTTAAAAACTTTTGTATCAATAATTTTAATTCCATGTGAACAAATGAAGCATTCACATATGTAAATAAATGGTATGTTTATTTTTAAGAAAGCTGGAAGGATATGGATTTATGACCATGAATTAGACTGACTCTTATCCAACCTTTTTTATGCTACAAATTACAGTTGACACTGTTTTATTAATTTTATATCTTGAATACGTTTTTGAAAATATTTGAGAAGTGTTCAGCTCGAAGAAGCAATTATTTCCATTAGGTATAATGGTGTTTCTTTTTTTTCCTTTGGTATAAATATGATTTAATAACTTTCGTTTTATTCAGATCTAATTTTTAAAAAAAGTGTTTTGTAGGGGTACTCACATATATACACTCCGATGTATACACTCATGCATCTAATCAGAAGTAACCTAGTACAATCAAATTACGTTCATTATGAATCACTAAATAAACCGAAAAAAAACGGTCTAGGTTAATCTATATCCAGCAGAACTGTTTTCAAATTCTGTCAGTGGATGTATATATTAAGCCGGAAAAGCTAAATTTGTGTTGAAAATAGCATAAATATGGTCTATTTATCCGATACAAAGTGGGATTTTGTTCCAAAAATCTTCAAGAAAAAAAAATTTAGTGAAAGTGAGAAGCACATTGATCAGCGTATTTGTTTTGCTACACAATATATCATTTGTTTTGAAAATAATTTTGCAAACTGCTGAATGATCTCCTTTTTGAAAAAATTTTCCTTCCATTTTACAGTGTATTACAGTTTCTGGCATGCAAGAAACTTTGAATTCACTACTGCAAATATTGCTGCGCGGGAATCCTAGTAGTAATCATTTACTTCCATATGACTCTCATTATTCTTTATTTGCTTTTTATCCTTTCAAAAATATTTTACTGTATAGATGATATGCAACGATATTATTTGACTCTCTTTTCTGATAATCTTTTTCAATTTTTCTGTTTTATCTGCACCAGTAAATACTATTTTTAGTATTGGATTGTTGGTTATATTTGTTTTTGTCTTACAACTGCAAACTTCTTGCATCTCTATTTGTTAGCTTAGAGATTTTCATCAAGTGTCAGGAATGAAATTTTAATCATCAGAACATTGCAAAATATGTCACAGGCAGTGTGCGTGCTATTGGATTGTCAAAATATTTTTTCTGCGTTATATTTCAGCTTAAAGCCATTCATTAAGCTGAATGCTACAGACAGTGCAAGTTTTTACAGAACATGTTATCTTTTTTATATCAAAATATGAATGTATATTTTTCAAATTTGAAAGCTTTATGGCATTTATTGTGAAAAATTATACTTGACAGATAGTTAAGTGAGGTAGTATAGAATTACGCTTGCTACAGAAGCTTTTAATTACTTTGAATAAGATAAAAGATTTGTGTTCACATTCTTACAAATTCACAAGAAGTGTGAAAAAGTTAAAATGTTCTCCAGGTGTACTGCTTTTATGGTACTGTAACATAAAATCAAATGTAGTAGAGAATAACTATTACTACAGAATTAGAAGCATTCATCGTCGACTCTGTTTAACATATTTAGTTTCATTTTGTCTTTCATGAGCATTTTATATAAAACTATAAAATTTTAAGAGTTAAAATTTTGCTTTTGTCAGCACAACTTGTGCACTTGGCCACAATGTGATCAACCATGTGAAAATTTCGCTACATTTCTGCATCATCTTACGACTACTCATACACTTGATGATCGATCTACTCAGCAATGTCGAGCTCAGATCGAAGTGGTTGATAATTTAGAACATAGGCTTAATCGAGAACGTACCAGACTTCAAGCTATGATGCAACATTTACATATGAAACAATCTCCTGATACTACTACGCCAAGCATAGGCACTTTACAGCAATCTCAAGATCCGATATGTGTTCCATCACCGGCGCTTTTAGAATCAAAAGGCGCAGATTCTTTACCTGAACAGGTCTGACTATTTTTGTTTCATTTCATCGCACATAGAAATATTTTTTTTTAATCGAATGTGGAAATTCGCATTTTGTTATATTTATTTAAATTTGTTTTAATTTTTTGCAAAATTAAGAGTCGGAAAATAAATTGAGTTTTATAATTTCAAAATAATACATCAAGAAGCTATTAAGTGTTCAATTTACTAGCTTTGCAGCACATGGACACGATGATTAATATGTACTGTTAATCAGCACATTTTGTTTTTTTTCTTAAAATAAGAAGATTATATGCTATTTCAATATTCATTCAGTGAAAAGAAGAAAATAGAAATTAATAAGTGGTGATTTACTTTCTATTACTTTCTTTCAAAATCTGTAAAGGTAGCAAGAAAACAATTTGTTCCAAGAACCATGATTGTTGTCTTCAGCAGCAAATACTGATGTCATTATCGCTGCCGAGCGTGTCAAATATTGAGGATTTACATCAACAACATTCAGAACAACAACACCATTCCCTTCAGCATCATCATCGCACTCCTCCAACTCCAAGGCGGAAAATCAGTGATAAGGTTGTCCTCCCCATATCAACGGATATTGCACGAAACCGTGAATTTTACCGAACACATGACGTACGCCCACCATATACTTACGCATCCCTCATTCGTGAAGCTATTATGGAATCTAAAGACTGCCAGTTAACTCTTAACGAGATTTATCAATGGTTTATGGAAACATTTGCATATTTCCGAAGAAATGCTGCAACTTGGAAAGTAATTAGTTCCAAATTAATTTTCCACCTCTTAAGTAGACTGATATCACACCTTTAAGAAGCCTGCAGACAAAAAAAGTGTTGTAATTAACTTTTAATTCGGAAAATAAATTTCCAGTTGAGAAGAAAACAGTTGATCACGAGACAGTTATTTACAATTTTTCTTATCAAAAGTCTATGTTGCAACATTTATAAAATTTTTAGAGCATAATTCTGAGTAAGATATAAGATTCAAAAGTGGCAATTAGTTAGGAATTATAAGTGTTTTTAATGCCAAAAAACAATGTACTTATATGCTAAGAATGTGTTCATGATTCTTCAGAATGCCGTGAGACATAATTTATCATTGCATAAGTGTTTTGCTCGTGTTGAACAGAACGTAAAAGGTGCTGTATGGACCGTAGATGATTCGGAATTTTATCGTCGTCGACCACAACGTGCCCATGCATCAAGGAGTACACCGTCAACGCCAAAACCTGATAATCCATTGAGTTTGTTATCAACGGCAGCTGCGGCATCTGCGGCAAGTATGATTGTAGATGGTGAGCACCCGGAAACTGCATTACTACGAGACATTAAACAGGAGATGCTGACTTCGGATATTGTTACTCCGAATTCATTGCAGATGTTCATCAAAGAAGAAGATTCAAGTCCAAAACTTGAAGTTGATGAAGGATCATAAATAGTGAAACTTCTCTTAAAAATGTGCCTTTCTTATCAAAAAACATCACTTGAAATTTATGTGCGTTTCATGGCTGCTTTCCTTTTTGTTTATATACTTTTATTTATGTTGTTTTTTTTCCATTTTGCACATCAGTAAGGAGCACAAGTTCCGAGAGAAATTCGAACATACAGATCGTGAAAAACTCTTATTTCATGGAAATATATTTATAAACAACTTGTCTCATTTAAATTCGATTCATTTTATTTGATATCCTACCTCATTTTATTTTCCATTTAGTTGTATTCGTTCCTGCAGTTTTTGTTCAGATTTCTGGTTTCTGCCACTGCACTGAATAATAATTTTCAACAAAATACTATCTTTCATCATTTATTGTATTATTTTTTCAGTTTTGCTTATCCTTCTACTGGCAAGTTTTCATGATTTCTTTTATTCTCAGGAGATGCCATATTATTTCACCATGAAAGAAATAGTTTTAATGAAGTTTTAGGCTTGTAACTACTTATTTATAATTACATTTCAGCATTAATCATAACCCGTTTATTTTTTTCCAATAACAAATGCTCAAATTTTTGATTTCAAATTCCCAATTTGGTGTGTAAATGAATTTTGCGCAAAGCATAACTTTTAACTTATTATTATCTTGAGGAAATTATTTGCTGAGTTATTTCTAATTGGTGAGCTAATATATTTCGTTTTAATGTTGATCTTACATCATTTTAATAGGTCGTTTGCGGGATTTGCTCTCTAGTATAGAAGCGAATTGTTATGATTTCGTTTGTTATACTGTCTTCGCTGTATTGTAACTTTTAAGTGTTGGTAAAACTATATGGAACTTGATGTATATTCTTATGGAGTTTTTTCGAGACAAGTATTCCATATATCTTCAGTAGACAATACGCTTTATATCCTATTTATTTTCGCACTAGCTCTTCATTAACTGTCCTTCAAAGTTAAGATTATGATGAACTTCGTTTAAATTTTTTCTATATTATGCATCAGGATAAGGAATTCAAAAATTGAAGTGTTTTATATACGCAAGAAGAAAGCAAGTCTCGAAATTCATTTGGTTGGCGTATTGAATACTGCTCTATAATCTTTTTTTATAGCTTACAAATTGAATATTTAACTTACCTTTGTTTGCCGGTCTATTTAATCCAGTTTAAATGGAGATGTTCAAAAATAAATTCACTCGTTTTTCTAACTACCAGAAAAAATTTATGAATACTGTGTATATAAAGAAGCAAGTGTGAATGAAATTAGTGACGAGTAATTTTGAAATCTACAAATTATTATCGGGTCTGCTTCAATTGTGATCGTATCCTCAGATCTTCAAGTTTCTTCATGTTGATTGAATACTTGGTTTCAATTTTTGTGTACAGATTGTTTGGCATCCATATTTTTGTTAACTGTCATTTTTTAAAAATTATTTTCGAATGGTTTGTTCATGCATTATTGTATGATTGTACAATTTGCAAAAAAGGCTATTTTGAACTCGCTTTCCACTGATTTTATACATTATCTTTAACATCGATATCTACTAGGTAATATGCAGTATAAGAGAGTATATTTAATTAGTATAAAAGGAATAAAAAACATGTTGGAATAATTACTATAAGTGCTAAATGCCTGAAATGCAAGAGCGGTTCGTTTAATAAGAGAAAGTATGATTTGATCATCTAGATAATCAATTGAGGTGACAAATTATCGCGCAGATGTGTTTGCAGGTAATTTGACTTTTACTCAATAGACTAAAGAGGCTATAAAGTCTAAATAGAAATTATACTACAGATATCAGTGCATGACAATTATGCCGGGACTTCCCTGCTTTTTGAATTACATGAGTTTAATGTAAATAGCATTGGTAAAAGGGTGTGGTGTATTCTTAGTAGAGAGGCAATAAAGTCTAATTAAAAATTAAACTATTCTGTTTTGCAATCAAATTATTGATGAACAAGCCAAGGAAAAAACCTATTCTCGTATACATCTCCCGCACTATTTGACATGATTCTACGCGTGAAATACCAAAATGCATTTGCTTCAAATGTGTTGTCAATCATTACAGTCAGTAAGTGGTCAGGAGGTACTACTTATGGTGCAATAGTGTCATTATCTCTCTATCAACAGGAAATATTTTACTGTTTACAGCTCTGTATAAGTATAAGATAGCGAAAATGAAGCAAATATACATGAGAAAAATATGAGAGATATACTAAACACTTATATAGGTCATATTACCCAAGTGTGAGAGGTAATCGTAAACGACAAAATTTGCTGCTTGATCTTGGAAGTTATTCTTTCCTCGCTATTTCTGGTTTCTATTTCTACTTTTCTTTCACCTTTGTTATGGAGACTTCTGACGCTACTATGAAGGTAAATGGCACAAAGATCAGTGCAATCAGTTGCAACTATAAAACAGTAGGTATGGACAGTTAAAAACGCTACGACGGTGGAAGTAGTAGTAATACGAGAAAACATTCCAGCAATAAGACAGATTAGTTTTCAAATGGCGACAAAGAACTTTCCACTTTACTGGTGACTTTCAGAAAGCCAAAAAAAAGTAATGGACCATAACGATTATGTTCATGCAGTACTTCTGAATATATTTACCCAAGTATGAGAGGAAAGCAAGCTTGTCCACAAAACCCTCATAGAGAGGTGCTTGAAACGCTTGAAGGTAAAAACCTAAGACCAAGAAGAATTTTATACTTACTTTTAAACGTGATTTTATGGAGCTTTAAATATTCTGACAGGGCGTGTGAGAATATATGGAAGTAAAATTAAAAGTTCTGAGTTCCGATGTACATTCAAACTCCAGATTCGAACTGTTTATGGGAAAGAGGCAGAGGAGCAGTCTGTTAGTCACTATGTAGAGAGAAGAAGCCTGAGTTTTGAGATATGATGTGGAACATGAGGATAGGAAGGAATGATAATATCTAGAAATTATTCCTTCCAGAATATGAAGTGCACGGTACTTTCCCATCCAAAGCTGAATTTTACAATATTATCTATCTGCCCCATTGGAAGGCGGCGTGTAGAGATGGAGTCCATAACTTTCATTAAGAAGTGCACCTCCTTGCATCCAGATCTGTACAAAACAATAAAGGAATGCATATAACGAACCATCTATTATTTGTTGGTGCACTCAAACTTCTTGATGGTAATATCACGAAATCTATGCAGAAGAAGTCCAGAGGTTCTTTGAATTGGTCTAATTACAAGTGAATCTAGCAAAAATGAACCAGGTATGCGCTAATAAGGCGGTGCACTTGTAAGGAGATCAAGGGTATAAATAGCTAAGGTTTTCATACCTAAGGTATTTATACCCTTCAGAATAATGAAAGGCAAAGAACTTAGCGATAGCCAAAATTGTACTAACCGGCTAGAACTTTAACAAGGCAGTAAACGAGTTAAATTTAATAAACTATTATACTAAGGTTTAATAAGCTATTATATTGGGGTGCTCAAACTGGAACCAGAGGATTTTCAAACAACTGACCCCGATATCAGACAGTTACTAATTAAATACGGGATTCACAAGCAACCTGCATGCTTGGAAAGACTGTACCTACCAAGGGACGAGCTAGGACGTGGGCTTCACTGCGTTGAACAAAGGAGTGAGCTTATGCTTTTGAAGCTTCATAACGTACTTATAGAAATGTGTACATATCTACCAGGAGGACGACGATTTTGAAGTAGGAAAAGGCTCACAACACGAGCAATTATTGCGCGCTATCTGAAGATTAGGGTGCAATCGAAGAAAATCCAACCGTCGAAAATGTATCAGCAGCCCAGGAAGCGTACTTGTATAGCAAAATAAGAAAGAAAATTCGTCATGCAAAGTTATGCAAGATGTGCACTTATGAGCTAGGCTCAATGTCAGATTCATCAATGTGACTACGATTTGAAAATATTGCCCCACAGGATAAAGCGCGATACTGCCATCTCTAAGACAGAAATATATTTGGAGGTGAGAAAGGTATGTGCCAACATTGTAGGGAACGTGTGAAGACGGCGGACCATCTAGCAAAGCAGTGCGAAAAAAATGTTACATCACGACTATACTAGAAGACACAGTGAGGTTTTACAGTGCATCCATTTATGATTCTGCAAAATGTGTGGTTTTAAGGCATCCCCACATTTCGTTCAGGAAATCGTCGCTAATCAGAACGTGAAAATTAGAGTCCATAGGAGGGATAAGAACTGCAATTAGAACAAGGACGGATCGATAGGACATTCTGGTGTATGACAAAAAGCGATATGAAGTATTCCTGATAGATGCTAGTATTACTGGTCAGAACACGTTGATAGCAGTAGAGAGCGAGAAGAAGCGAAAGTATAATTTACTGGTAATAAGCTTGGATCAGAAATGAAATGCAGCACCGAAATAATTCCGTATGTGACAATTTGGTTTGGGATTGTAACGAACTTCTATAAACGTTACGCGAAAAAAATCAGTATATCTGGTCACGTCGAGGCATACACTCAGTCGATAGTACTCAAGAAAAAACTCGAAAGTATCTCATCCGATCAGCGCCGTTGATTCGACGAGAACAAAGCAGCGGAGATCAGCACAGTAGAATCGAGCGCACGGCGAGTGCAGCGAGAATGCCAGAATATGATCCAGCGCCAGAATCAATAATGAAGAAAAGAGGAATAACCATCGTTTAGCATAGATTGACACATATATGTATATCACGAAACATGCAGTAATTGCCTGCCTCAACTTGGAGTCTTTACGAAAAATTTTCGTGTTATACATGGTCGAGTTTTTGACATTCATCATTATTAACCACAGCACTTGCTAATTACCTCGATAATTGTGATATGCAAAAACTAAAGGTGATTATACATTGCAGTTAGCTTTAAGTAAAGGAGGGAGGAAAAACTGCATGCTTCGTTACCATGGGTACAAGACGTATGCGCATGTTTGCATATCCTTACTGGTGGCTTGGCAAATCCACTTCATACCAATCATTTCACATCACAAGATAACAATTGTAACGAAGCTTTGGTTCTTATGGCATTTACTATTGTTTTAAAGTGACTGATTATAAGCAGTTAACATTAATCCAATCAGTTTGTATCAAACGGTAAATCTAAAAAGTAACTGCTTTATTTCGTTCATAAAATATAATTGTAAAATTTAGTTTGCAATCTATACGATTATATATTGTCATTATAGACCATTACTGCGAAAATTAATTTGTGATAATGGATATAATGCATAAAGTTAGATAGATGGAATGGGATGAGGAAGTTACAGCTGAAAAAATTCTCAAAATTGTGGTTTGTGGTGATAGTGCCAGTGGTAAAACATCAGTTTGTAGACGATTTGTTCAAGATTATTTTGATCGACAATATCAACAGGTTCAAACATTTCTACTCATACAGTCGCAATACTTCAAATCATAATACATATCTGCTATCAGTCAGTCTACTTCCTAATTTAGTGAAAATATTAAAATTAATTCCATTGTATGACCTTCATATCGAGATTTTGGCAAGAAACTGTAAAAAGGTTTTTGATATGATATGAGTATCATCTGTTTGCAGACTGTAGGGTTGGATTTCCTCTCCAAAAGGTTGACTTTACCTGGTAATGTTCCCGTTCTTTTACAAGTGAGTAATCTTAAATTTGTTAAAGAAGTTCATAGCTTTGCTTTTCACAAGTACCCTAGTGAAATATTTGTCGAATATTTTAGACAAGTAATTTTAGTGAAAATCAAGCGTAAAATTTTAAAATGTATTAAGTGCTGAAAACAGGCGGAATTTCGTTGGTGATCAGTGAGACATACTTGATATGCATATTTTTAGGAATTTCTTCATAAAAGAAAACAGTTCAGTTTTTCTATCTGAAATTTGAAATTTATAGATTTGGGATATTGGAGGACAAAGCATAGCAAGTCCAATGCTTGGAAAATACATCAGTGGTGCACATGGTGCCCTTGTAGTTTACGACGTTACCAGCAGTTCCAGTTTTGAGAACCTGAAAGACTGGATTGACATCATGAAAGAGTACGCCAAACCCCAAGAGAAAGTAAGTTTACAAATGATGACACTTAGAAACCAATCTTCCTAAAACTTTTAACCAGATAGTCTCATATGAAATGAATGCATTACAGCCAATCGTACTGATGCTTGTTGGTAATAAAACGGATCTAGAACATCGTAGATCGGTTCGTATAGAACGACATACCAAATTTGCAATTCAAAATAGCATGTTCAATCACTACGTCTCGGCGAAAACTGGTGATAGCGTTTTGCTTATGTTCAGGTAAAAACAGAAGCAAAAAAGCATTAATTTCAAAAACATCCTTTCATTTTTCTTTCAACGAAAAACCTGGATTTTTTTAAATATGAAAAGATTTCAAATTTATACCTAACTGTTAACTACAGACGTAGTATAAAATAGTTAAAATCTACAAAAATGCATGATACAGGAAACTGGCTGCAGAAATTCTTGGAATTCCGTTGGAAGAAAATGATAAAGATGCAGATATTGCTATTGTAAAAGCTTATGTTACTATACCAACAGAATCTGAAGCAAAAGTATCGCAAAGACAGACAAACACAGACCAGTCTCGTAATACAGCTGTCTGCTCACTTATGTAATTAATCCGTCATTTGACTGTGGCAATTCCGTTGTTTAATTAGTATTTAGATATGACCATATTTCGTTCACCTTATAAAAATAAAAGTAACGAAAGCTATGCATAAGTTCTCATAATTACCTGAATAAAAATGCAAATTCCGAACAATTATTTCAAAAAATTTGTCATTTAACGGATTTTTCAAAGACTTTTAAAGAACTTCTCCAACTTACGAAAACAAAATTTCAATTTTTGTAATACCGGAAGTTAAAGTTCGCCAATTCTATAAAATAAAACCAATGCTAGTTTAAAAATGAAAAGCGCTAATATAAAAGTGCTACTACTTTTTGAAAAGATAATTCCTTACTATACTCAATTATTACCAATACAAATCCACATCAAGACTGTACCACCCTACCCATCACAAAATAGTGCTTATCACTCGTACAATCTGTTTGAGTGGTTTGAGAAATAGTAACATAAGGCTTCTTCGGAAAGGGTGTGCACTTGTATTAATAAACAGAGCTAATATACGAAATTGTGGTATATTAAAAGGCGATGGATTTGTATGTCTGTATCAGTAAGGAACATATCTGGATATTACTTTCAGTTGCTTGGGGAAGAGATCTAAGAATGAGTCACGTGTGTTCATTTTAAAAGGAAGTACTGTTATTACTTATGTTATTCACTTTCGTACTTGCAGGAAGTGGTTAAATTAGAGTGCATGCCATTTAGTATTTGCTTATATATCACTTACATTTCTTTTATGCTTTCGTATTATTGTAAATATGAACGTAAGCTGGATAACTTCATCTTTTTTTAAACTCATTCAGTTTCAGGTTTATGTATTTTTTCATTTTCATATACATTGTTATCAAAAGTATAGATCAGTTATCATGCGGAATGAGAATTGTGCTTATTGTTTTTCTTGAGCTAATTGTGACAGAATTCGTTTGATTTGAATAATTTTCATATCAGGTTTTCAATTTAGTCATCCACAGAGAGTAAAATGAGGGCTTTTAATAAAGTTAACATTTAGTTACTATCTTAGTTATCACTAACATATTTTTAGTGCCAAGTAATAGACGTATATGTCATTGTTAACAGTTTAAGTTCCGTAATCATAGATCATGAATACTTGAGGCATGATTCGCACTTTGTTAGTCATGTTTTACAAGTTGGAAATGTTCACTGTTTTGCAGATTCATAATTTTTCTAATGAATTAAAGATGATTCATGAACTTTAATGAGCCATATTCAGCTATATTCATGGATGACAAGTTGGTTGTACCACATGCTAAAAAAGACTTCTCTGAAGACGAGCTTTTAAAATTACTGGCTTATTTAGAAGGCGAATTACAAGCTCGTGATATTGTTATAGCCGTCTTAAAGGTCAAATATATTCATATTCTGCTAGCTTTTCAGATTTAAAAAAATTAATGTTAAAGCATTAATTTCAGGCTGACTCCACTGACAAAATTTTCGTGATATTCGAAAATTTTTCTGTTAATGTACTCGTGTAAAGAATAGAGTAAAGCTCAATAAAATTTCAGTCAGAAAAGGCGAAACACCTATTTTATGGGGCAAAATATGGACAGTTAGCTGGGAGCGATCCAGTCAAAGCATTGGAACGTGATTCCAATTTCGTGGACGATGGAAATATCGATGAGTCTAGGATTGGTCAGATGTATGAAACCCAGCTTCTACAACTAGAACGTTTAATTGCTGTACAGCGGCATTGTCATAATCGTTCCAAACAGGTCAAGCTATAAAATAGTAAATTGCCAGCAGTCATAATTTTATTGGTTAATTTTAGAAATAACACTTTATTGTATATCAACTACTAAATATCTCCATTCCCTAAGTAACTTGAGATCTGTCTGTACTGTATTTCTGTACTACATGTGGTTATACTTTTTACTTGTGATTCAATTTCTGTCTCCACTTTTAACACGCATTGTTCGGTTTTTCATGATTTTAAATTGAATATTGATATTCAGATCTTAGCAGCTGCAGAAAAGCGACATGCACGTATTCTACGAGAATTGGATGAGGATCAGCGACGTTCCGCTGCTGATGCTGCACAAGGTGACGATCTCTGTGCTCTTTTTGAGAATGAGCGAACTCGTCTCCGTCAGCAGGTATTTAATTTCATGCTGCAGCGTTTTTTCATCGAGAGGCATACTATTACTTTCTTTTGTCAGTCAAAGAAGATATGCTTTGATGAAAATATTGTAATCAGGCTCATATGTTCTAGAAGCATATTTTTTTGGTGATATTATTATGTTAACTTTGATACCTTTCGTTTTTATATTTTAATCATATTTTATATTTAATTCTGTATGCCATGCTGGAATGTTATTTTAAATATTTAAGCTAGAGTACGAGCAAAAAGAAACCGATAAAGCCCGCAAAAAAATTGTAAAATTAGAAAAGAAATTAAAAGAGGAACAAGAACGTCATAAGTCAATGGTATTATTCTTAATTAATGAAAGGAAACAGATGCTTTTCGAAGTGCATGAGTTGAAAATACAGAGTAGTCGTGGTTAGTTATTTTTTTGACAATTACTAATCAATACATTTTTCGCTCTATGTACTTGTTATATTTGTCACCTGTTGATGAGTATCGCTTACAGATTCTTCTTTTGATCAGGAAGCGTCTTTACTAGTGGAGATTCGAAAAGAAGCTGCTGCTCTGCGTTCTGAGAGAGATCAGTTGCGTACTACATTGGATGCTACACTTTCTGAACTTCAAACTCTTAAAATGGTTACTTTTCAAAATATTTGCTGCAAAAATATATGGTTTTTCGCATTTTTTTAAGAATCAAATTTCAGGTTGCAAAGAGTCAGGAGGAAGATTTGGCATTGCTGCGCAATAATATTCTTAGTAATACTCGAACCTACTCCAATAAAGTATTTGTTTTGGTTTCTAGCGAATGAAGTGGTTTCAATAGTCAATAATGGTCATGATCTCAAAAAATTTTTCTGAAATTTGTCCTGATATTTTATTCTATGTTTCTAAGAAATACAATATTGATAGTTAATTACGGTTGCAGCTTTTCTTCTTTTCAAATCTGTGGAAACGTTTATTTAGTTGCGAACAGTGGATGACGGTTCTATAGTCGTGGCAAATAAAAGTATCTCGAATGCATTGCTTGTTTCCAAAAATCCAAGTTCCGGATTACCTACAGCAGCTGCCGAGCCACGACATCATCCATTACGTCCCAAACTTAGCACTTCCTCAACTTTTCCAACAAGTGATCGAATTTCTCGCAGTCGTGTTCCTCTTCGAAGCCCTGCGCGAGTGCTACCGACGACTGTTCCATTTCCTTCTCCGAAGTCACACATTTTTTGACCTACATCTTTTCTTGAGAATCGTGAAGTTACTGGAGTTAAATTTCAGAATATTTGTAGTATTAAAGTTTTCATGTGTATTTCACTTAAAATTTTTTAAAGGAAAGGGCAGCAGAATCACTCGGCTTCTACACGACCAGCTACTTTGTCAGGTGTACGGAATAACAATAATCATTTGTCGTCACATGATAGGGAGATGTCTAGCTCATCTAACATTCCTGAAAGGATGAAAAATGCATACACAGCTGAACCTGAAATAGAACAACTCGGTGCCGTTATTGATTCAATGAATATCGGAAGTAAGCGGACTCAACTTAATTCACTGTCAACTCAGATGAATCAGTGTTTTTCAGTACTAATAAATTATTTCGAATGAAAAAGAGCTAATTCTTTTCATTTTCAGTACGATTATTTTTCAGACAAGCGAAGCGCTTCCTTGCCAAGAAACAACAAAAATGGAGGCATAATGGGATCACAAGCACGTAAACCGACTTTGTCGAAACCTGCTGTAACTCCTAAGCGTAGTACAATTTTCAGAGCACTTGGTGTAGCAACTCGAAATGACAAAAATTGTTGATGATAATCAGTAGGAGAGATTTATTTTTGGAGATCCCTAAGACTTGTTTTAAATTGGTATGAGTGCCCTTTTTCGGTTGTATGAAAAAATTAAGCTCTTGATTGTGATGGATAAGGACTTATATCACCAGAAAACTTCCCTGTAATATAGTACCAGTCCTTAGATTTAAGACATATATTCCCACGGTCTCAAGTTTGAAGACAGAAACTTAACTGTAAATAGTATTTTCATGTGCATTATGATTAGACGACTTTTCAGAGTCGGCTTATTTGGCAGCTCACAAAATCACTAATAGTATGTATTTGTATTTGTACATGTAAAATTATATAGTTATTGACGGATTTGACACTATTGTGATGAACGCATGAATCGTAAGATTTTATAAGATTTGGAACGGTACATAAAGAACTGAATAATGAAAGGAACAACCAGACACGTGTCTTTTATTCCATAAGTGTATCGTCTTTCCCCATCATAAATGACTTCCATATTTCAGCATTAGCGATGCAGCTGGTGGCAGAAAGATCCTACAAAACTTACTTTGCACAAGGATATATCAGAATAATATTCTGCTGTTTAGAGCTACTTTATCAATTTAATATTATGACCTACCTCTGAATTGTTGAAGCACTGAAGTATGAGACGACGAGAATGTCCTACATTAGGATAATGGCTTGTATGAGTTGCGAAAGCACACCATTTATAGTGCTGTTTTTCAACATCAAAGACATTGCCTCTTAAAAGCCATAAAGCTACCCTCCTGCTGCAGCATGTACAAACTACAGTATCGTCCAATTCACTGCTTAAATTGGTGAATTGACGTTTTAGACCACCAAGTAGTTGGCGGGATTCAAATTCTAACAACGCCAAGACTGGCCATTTTTGAAGAGTTTTGGTAATACAAAAGTTAATTGAAATCTATCTAAATGCAACCCGACCATCATCATGAAATGATGATCAAATAGGCGATTGTTGACATTGCGTTCAACGAAAAAATAATCACTTTTTCTGCCAGCCAAAACAAACGAGTGCTCTATATTTTTGCATTGCCGTTTTGAAAACCACAGATGAAGAAATATCGGATAAAGTCACTTTGATTTCTTCAAGATCAAGTTTATTCATAGTTTTGCATCTAAAATAAAGTGACCAATGACGCTCATGCCACTTATTTTATGAAGAGTTTTGCTTCAAATTCACTATGATTTGTACACTTTCTATCATGATGGTGATATAAATCATCATAACTACATAGAAGAATAACTTCAATGAAAGCATACTACTTTTAAAATCAACATATTTATGCGATTATGGAAAGCGATTCTTAATAATATGCTTTAATTACCTTTCATCTATAAGACCTTTTGGAAGAATGTGGAAAGGAATTCCATCATTTGAACCGAAGGAAGTATGCCTGTACGGACATATCACACGATGTTTTTTAGTTATCAAGGAAATAAGTTTTCTGAAATAATTTGATTTCAATGACGAATTAATTACAATTAATTTAAATCATCTCTACATATTTCAGTCATTTAATTACAGCTGTTAGAGAACAAAACCGTCTATTCCACGATTAGAAGAACTAAAATGATTCAAAATAAATGAATAGCCTACGCACCTGACTGATTTTTGGAAGACTTCAACTTCAACTTTTGCTAATTTAGGCAATACAACACTCATGTACTGGTCGCAAACTGCACAATGTACCATATCTGGTGCTACACATACCCATCCGTGGATAGCAAATACAAGTGGTGATAACTTTTTTGGTTTCCCAACCCATTTTGCTAGCTGCAGTTTTAAATGATAATTAATGCCAAAGAAATAAAAGTATTGTACTCTGAATCATACGATACAATAGAAAATGACTGGAGCAATAGACTATGACTTTGGTGCTTGTTGGTAGCATAGGAAAAGTATGCCGTACACTTCAATTACTTAATAAAAAAGTACGTTAAGCAAATAATTACAAATGATGTGCACTTACATAAATTTGAATTTCCTGCAGTGCTCAATATATAGCTCAAATAACTATTTTATTAATTTGATCAAAAATTTGCTTACAGTAAAAGACTGCAACCGTTTTTCAATTTTCGAATCAAATTTGTCGTAATTTGACCAACATTTCCCATTTACTGATAAACTAAAACAATGAAATTATGAAGCACATTGAATGATTTTTATTGAACAGTAATGATAGCAATTTGAAAGTTCACTCATTCCTGCTTTACATGTAAAAGAATAAGAACTAAACAGCACAAAAAAATGAAATTGAGAATATTTTATATTACCGTTGCTGTTGAGTACGAGTTTGTTCATGGGCTTGATGAAGCAACTCTAAAGCATTTTCTTTTAAATGAGCGAGCTCCTCAATTTTTTCCATTGAATTCCTTCTAACACTATTAACTTATAATCCTTAAAAAACGTAAAACCCATCAATATTTATTTATAACCTTTAAACTGCAAATAAGCATTATATAGGTTCCGAAATAACTTTTCAAAATACTCGTGGTAAAAGACGGCTTGTGCAGCTGTTATGCAACCATATTTTGGCCTCTTTGAGTACTGAAAGCGAAATAAGTAATTTCAGGCTATTGTCTTCATGTTATTCAATTACTTGTAGAAAGGAAGCAGTTTGATAATATGACTATTATTAGCTCTATAAAACATTTACACGGGAATATTGAAAACGTTCTATGCCTTCCTAGATTATTATCAATATCATCAACGCGTGAAAAGAATACTGCAGGGAAATATAGAGTATGCTTTTATTGAAGTAAATTTTGATGGTTTGCATTTTATTGAAATAAGATTTGCAGAATGCTCAGACTTACTTTCATCTCATTCTTGGTATATTAAAATGATGAATGAAAAATAATTACCACAAAAGCAAGTTCAATTCTTCAGACTACAACTGGCCGTAAACAAATGTTAACCTATGAAATGGCTCATCGACCCCACCACATTGGCGTCAAAAAGTCTTGGTTAACCTGGCATTCACAAAACTTAGAAGAATTTCGACAGCGCCAACCTGTTGTAGTATGTTTTAAAACTTTTGGTGCAGTTAAGCAAATTTCATATACTTGGATTCAAATACTTAACTGTAAACTGCTACCAATTATTAATATAGACAGTGTAACTTTTTCATGTAAGTTCACAGATTTTAATTTTAAAGAAACGTGCGCACGAAAGGTTTTATCGAGAATAATATGATATAAAAATATACCGAACATATTGATATCCTTGTAGACAAATCTTTTTATAGATAATACACTACTTTCTTAAAATTTTAGATAGCACAAGATGAAATAATCCGTCGTTTCGTACGTGGCTTCTTCCCAGATTACATAGCCATTGATGGAAGTGAGGTGCGGCTGTATCCTTTTACATTACAGTATAATTTAAATACATTGTAGAAACTGAAACTCTTACAGCTTATTATCAAACGACAGGGAAATTGCGTCCGTGTTGCTGGTTTCTTTCACTATCGAAACAGGCTGAATATACGTGAGATATATTGGATGTTTGGATTTACAGAAGAATTCCTCTCAACTCTACTCAAACAACCAGTGAAACTAGAAATCCAGTTTGTTGCTGATGAAAAAGACCTTGCATACAATTTCATCTAGAAGTATTTAATGCAAATAAAGCTACTGCACAAAGCGCACGCAAACGAAATGTATGAAGTGCAGTCAAGTTCTCGTCACCTCTTAACTAGCTTTAACTCATGCCAACCAGTCTTATGCGAGTCCTTGGACATCCAATATTATAATACATAAGAAGTGTCTGGGCATCACGAAGCCTAGTATCCCACGGAATTATCGAAGTGCTCCATTATGTGTAACAGAATCCTATATTCATTACTTCATGATTTTGTCCACCACTTCTGGGTCTCGTCTTCTCCCACACATTCGTTACTATGCTACATAAACATTACATTACCTCACTTACCAACGAAAGATTTATCCGACTAGGCAAACACAATTAAAATATCCGACTCACCTTTCAACGCTGAATGGAGTTAGCCCATAATCCATTACGAACAAAATAAACTTACAAACAACTCTCAGCAGCAGCATAATGCACACTGCTAAGATGCATCGGTGAGTGAGTGTATACAGATTAAAAAATATTTTACTAACGATAAAACGATAAAACGGTAAAAGTGTAAAACGATAAAACGGTAAAACGATAAAACTCTTAAGAGAACGTATGCTGCTGGAAGCAGTGTAGCCTGCTCGCTACGCCACTTACGCAGTGGTTATTTGACACATAATGACACTGCCACCTAATTTGAGGAGGTGTATGAACATTACAAGCACTTGAGCGCACTATACTTACCTCATCCAATATTTCGCACAACTAAAATACATCACAGAATTGGATATCACAAATTTTCATCTAAATCATGAGCTAAAATACCACAGAGACAGACATTAAAAAATTGGTAATACATAACTTCAGCATACCATAGCCCCTAACTACCACAAATGGCCTAGAGCCTGATTTGAACTAGTGAGATATTTAATACCTTCACACGTCGAATTCCCAAAATTGAAATACCTACATAACAAGTCGAAATGTAGGAACTTGCTTTGAGCTCAATATTCAGCTAATTATATAATGCCCAAAACCTTTGTAAAACAAGAAAACAAGCAAATAGATAGAGATGTCAACAGAAATATAGATCGTAAATGATAGACTGCATTTAATTTCCTCCCATTATTTGGAAATGTATGAAAAACCAGGTGGAGGTGTCATCCAATGCTGTGTCGGATGTCGTTGAGAATTTACAGGTGGCATAGGAGAGGGAACAGATACTGCAACTGGATTCGAAACTTGAGCTGGAGCCGGTACTGTTTGATCAAAGCCTGGAGTAGATGGGAACTGACTAGCAGTGCGTTGCATATCAACTGGCGATGTTGGGTTCGGCTGATAACCTACAACTTGGCTTCTTAACTTTGCGTAAAACTCAAGATAGGCTTTCTCTATCAGAGAACCTGCAAAGTCATACAAACACTGGTCAAGGGCAGAAGCAACTATAGTGAAAAACAAACCCGTATTACCGAGGTCTGGCACAAAACGAACATTAACTGTAGGCAACAACGCTCGAAAACCTTCTTGCCATTCTTGAAGTTTAGCTCCGTCAATGTGACACGCAGGATTTGTAGTGACATTAGAGTGAAATTGTGGACTATTATTGAAGGAAGAGCATCGCTGCGGTTGTGACGAATTGAAGGTGAAATTGTTGGGAGGACTGACAAAGCTACCCACTCGTGTCATCTGAGGTTTTGGAGAGGTAAAATATTGATGTGGTGAGTACTGATTGTGGTATGATGGCTGCTGAGTGAATAATTGAGTCGTTTGAGACGAAAGTTTTAGTGGCTGTGAAAAATGGTCATTATCAGAAGAGTAACTGTTTGTTGCTATTAAACCAACATTTGTGCCATGAGCATTTTTCACTGGTAGCGTAGAAATACCATTTGAATTATTCATAGAAGGCCAGCCACATTGCAGACTTAATGACAAAAGTGACGATGAGATTGACGGTACATTGCATACACTGAAAATTGGTTAAATAAAGAAAAAAATATTTAGAACAAACCGACTGAATGATTGTGATGCAATACTAATTTGCTCTTACTTTTGAGCTGAACACTGAGGTAACATCGTTTTTTCTTCTGCCAATAAATCTGCTAAACCTTTTGCCGATTCCGAAATTGGATCAAATCCTGGAACTCAATTCCAATGAAATACCTTGCAGTTACATAGCCGATCTCAGCTTCCTGCGAGATTTATTTTTTTCGCATCCAACATGACACAGTTCACCAGTTTAAAGGCTTCACAAAGTTAAATAAACTACCTAAATCATCATCGCTATGTACACTGACTCGTGTACTTTTCGATACAACTCTCGTTTGAACATTCGACGACGAAGTATAAGCACTTTCTGCAGCTAAACTGTCTGTTTTTTCAGAAAAACCTAATGCACGCTGCCAATCACATGATGAAATATTTTTGAGCTGCGAACTATCACCCAAAAGAGGACTCGAATTGTTACTACCTTCCTTTTTATTCTGAAAAGTTGTAGATTTTGGATACATGGGAATATCGAAATGGAGAACAGTGAAAAAAATATCAATAAGCTTCAGAAAAAAAGTAACCAGTAGCAAACTAGAATTAAAATAAAATAAAGTGCCTTCAAACTTATTTTCAACCTAATCTCAACACCGGTTGAACGAGATTCTAAAAAACTGTTCTCATCGTGATGTTATTCTTTGAAGAATTGATGAGAGAAACAATATTGACTATTATACTTGAATTCTTAAATTAATGTGTTATAAAAGTCTAGACTGATGGCAATAACTGACATCTATATATATTCCTTTAGATGAACCATATGAGGTGGAAATAAGCGGTACGACACACTGACTAGATGAAATCCATTCCGACAACCGCGATCTGTAATCATATTTGCACAAATAAAACACATCTCAAATATATGAATAATTTAAAAATGTGCAATGCAAACTTGAAACAACATCATCTATTGAATCTGCCTTGTTAAGCCAGACATATAAATTTGGAAAACTATGGTGACGAATGAAAAACTTGCCGAGAATCGGCAATGTCATTACTGTCGCCTTCTTCTGTAGCCGTTTTACTTTTTTGGTCATGCGCAGAGAAAGATACTGTATCTTTTTGGTGTCTCAAACTATCACGTAGTTGAAATTGAGTCTAAAATTTTCGTTATCTAGTATGAATAAAACGAGATTGATCAAGTAACTGAAAATGACGTAATCAGTCTATTTGTCTTTATTTCTATTTTTTTAAAAATTCATATGAAATCTGTGCAGAAAATGAATATAGAGTAAATCAACGTACATAAGAATGAAATGAAGAAGTTAACCCTGTAACAAACTAACTTCATTAACTCTATCAGTATCGTTGTTCTTAGTGATCTGCTTGTTACTTGAGACAAAACAAACTTGATTTGTTCTCAGTTCTCTGAAAGAAGGAAACTCGAAAACAAAAGCACGAGTTTTCTTTTCGTTTCAGAATACTTTCTTACTAATATCACCATTCCGTTTAATTAATTAGCATTGATGCCATTTATAAAAGAGATGTATGAGTCACACATCAAAGAAACTCTAGCAAAATTACATCGAGTCAATTATTGAACCATTATGAGCTTAACCAATGCCTTATGCAAATGCCATCAATATCATGACAACTGTGGAAAATTTTCTTAGACCACATGTTTTTATATTTCGTTTCTTGAAGAGAAATTTTATCATTCAAAAATGATAAGTTATTTAATCTGTTAGGGATTTTGCGATGTTACATAAAACTTACTCGTGAGTAATACTAATAATTTACAACCAAGCTCCATATGTTGAAACAATTTTAAAAACTCACAAGTATCCTAATGAGATTCTTAACAGATGAAGTTATGAACAAATGTGAACCGAAAAATGCAATTAGTGCTATTCATGAGAAAACTTTAAGATGAGAATGAAAAGTATATTACCCGTTAATGTGGTTCTTAAGTTTGTGCAAACATTTACCACCAGAAGGTGACCTGCTTTGAACCAAGTCCCCCCTCTCTTCATTGCTTCCTACGGCTGTTATGTATCCAGCAGACCCACGCTCTACACTACTATAGAAATAAAAAATCAGATGGAAAAATAATAATAAGACTGAAAAACACTGGTTCTTAAGAATATAACTGTTTATTTGAAAACGAATGATTTCGCAAATACTTCGCATATTATTTTATCATAAACTATTAATTTCTAGCTCAAAAATAAAAATATAAGAAGATAATCAGATTCTAACTTTGCTGGTTTTCCACTTGCAATATTGGCAAGTGTTGTTTGTCCACGCTGACTTTTTTCTTTAAGGGTTGATTCGATTAAGCGCTTTTCGTATTCGGCATGTCGTCCTAAATGCATATCATCTTTGGTGAAACTGACTTCTGTGTCGGCTACATCATGCAAATACATGCACTCCTGTAACGAGAGAGTGTTCACTAATAATGAATTGCAATGCACCTTATTTCTAAAACCCGCTTTAACACTTTTTAAATTAATGCGACTTTGAGACATGAAAATAAATTCAAAAAGCCCGTTTTCATAAACTGCTTATGCAACTAACTCAACATATAACGTGTGGTTCAACTACAAAAATGCACAACGCTTCAGAAAAAAGAAATGAAAATAAAACATTACACAAAAATAATCATAAAATAAAAAACCAATTTGTGACAAGGTTGACTGCGAAGAAAATTTGTACAATATTTCGTAGTTCCAAGCGATGCTTTTACAATTCGTCCATCTAACTGTGCATTGTTGACAGCCTAAGAATTTTCCATGTTAAAAATACTTAAAGTAATAAGTAACCGGATGGTGTCTTCAAGGTCAGTGATGTTGCTGAAGACAAATATTTCACGATGATTAAGCAAACCTCATACTTATCTAACTGATCATGCTCCAATACTGGATGAAAATATGAAAAAACCTGAATAGCTCTTAGTGCATCTTCATACCGCGCATAAGTTACATAAGCAGTGCATGATGCTGATTGGGGTCCATTTGACGATAATGAAGTTCCTACAGCAACCTTAAATAGGTCTTCGTATGTATTTGAACAATAACATTGTAATATTCTTTAAGAAATACAAAATATGATGTACCTTTAGTATACGACCAAATTTTCCAAAATATTCAGGCCTTTTCAAGGTCTCTGGATCTGCGACTCGCGTCGATAACCCCACCACATATACGAGGTTCTTTTGCAGCACTCTTAATGAAAATATTACGGTCTAGACAATACTCTAACCTTTCCTGCGAGTTTAAATAGTAATATCTAACTGAAAACATCAAACCTATACGAAGAAAGGTGTTTTCGAGATTCACAAATTTTGATTTTTTGCTGTTGTTGCTTTTGGCGTTTTTCCGTCTTTATTTTTTGGACATCGGAAACAGACAATGGTTTAAAATTGACAGGATCTTCCGGGTAAGGTTGCCTACACGCAGGGCACAGTCCATTTTCATCAGTTCGCAATCGATGCCAACAAAATCTACAGATCTAAAATTCTCAGCAAAATTAATACCTCTAAATATGATCAGATCATTGAACGCAGCACGTCTAGCTGTATTGGAACTACTTCATAAAATAGGGGCTAAATACACCAATTACATTATATTCAGAAAGACATTCATCAAACCAATCCACCTACTGATTCCAACCAATACAAGAGAACGTTATTTCTCACTTGATATTCACATTTGCACGGATAGAAATTAATATCATCGATCTCAAGTGGCTCCATGCACAAAGGACACTGCAAAAAAGTGAAGTTACACTGTAAAGCGCCATTTATTCCTCAGACCAGTGAGTGAATTACAATGAAAAACATGTTATAAGAAAGCAAAGGCATGTTAAACTGAAATGGTGCATATAAAATGAAAAAAAAAATTCAACACAACAATGATGTGCACATTCGTCAGAATCAACTCTGTGAGAGGGAGCTCTAAAAACCGTACACGCACATTTGGGTCTAATGCTTTTCAGATCGTATGTACATAAAATGTCTACAAAAGCTATATCCTTATCCCTATTACTTTGGATTTCTTTCCAGGAAGAGATGGAAAAACATACCTCTTTATCGGCTTGCTCATCACTCGACATAGTATCACTTGTTTGGAAATGAAGGACTTTAAGAAAGCTGCAAAAATCGGATAAAATTAATAGAGAGATAAAAATAAATGTCTCATCGCAATATGTCATTCACGATAGCCATACATCGATTCTAGACGATGAAAGAATGATGTTGATCAGCTGATGAAAAATCCTTAGGAAACCAAAGCGAAGCATCAAGGCGTGTATTTTATCAAGTGCAACGATTTCGTTGCGGTGAAATGTGAAAAATGGGATAATATGAATAGATGATAGACACACTAACAAACAGATAAAGAGATATATCGGAAGGATAAAGATAGATGGTAGATGCAAAGGTAGACAGATGGATAAATAAATATATGGGTGATGGATGCATAGATAGATATACGGATAGCTAAACTGAGAAAAACTGTAGCTTGGATGAAGATGGAAGTAGTATCAGATAAATTAGCACCAAATCCTACTCCATAAGAGCAAGTGATAACAAGTTTTTGCATGCCTTTCATGGCAGTGTTTCCCAGAACAATAGCAGGAAAAGTCTCATATCACACACAACAACAACCAAATCTGTCTGAGACCTCCCGATACACTTTCCATTCCTCCTTCAACTCCTCTTTTAAGATACCAGCACTCTTATTCTATCCCATCTCTTACTGTCTCACTCCCCTCAATGTTTGTAAACTGAGCTACGAAGTGTGTTCTGGCCAACCAACACTGTTTTACAAACATACACCTGCATTAATCAATAACAATATTTAACTCTTGATTTTTGGTACCTAATATGAAACTCATGTCCCTACAGTCATTAGTATGAATCTTACTTTTAGGCATCTTGCAACGTTTCTATTGTATTCAGTTATGCTTCAGTGCTCGGTTTTGGTATTTCTTGCGTACTTTCGTTTGATATACTTCTTTTTTTATTGTTTTGTGGAGTGTGTTCTCATGTCTTTCTTGACTCTGTCAATTTTGGGCATGTATTTGATTCGACATAAACCGATTGGCTTATAATACTCGCATGATGCATTCTGTTGCTTCATTTGGTTTCCAAACTCAGAAGCAGGGGGTGGATTTACTTTCGTTTTTTATGTTATTATTTTAGTGGTGTAATATTAATTTATGGATTATATCATTTGAACCTATTATTTAAATTTTTATTATTTAAATAACAATAGTAGTTCAGGGATTATTTATTTTGCTTGCTCTGTGAAATGGTTAATCTAGCATAAATATAAGCGGCATTTATAATTTTTCATACCTGGCATTTTATGTTATGAATCAATGTTGTAAATTCATGAAAATTTAGTAGCAACAATTTTTAGCTTGACGTTATATTTTCTCTTCATGTAATATAACACTATTTCATTGCTTAAAACTACTAAATTTTTATTTTGGTTAATTGTATCTATTTTCAATTCAGTTTTATTGCTCGCTGTTCTTTATGATTACAAATGCGCACTTCCTTTCTCTAGAATCAGTGAAATTTAACTCTGACATTTCTTCAAAATTGCCTGATCGCATTTCTCGCAGAGCGATTGTAATCTAACTTCTAGTGCTAATCATTTAAGTGCATACGTGCATGGGTTTTAACATTTTGAGTATTTGTTTTAAAAAGTTTGTTTCCACTAATTCCATTTTATGCTAAAAATATGATTCATTTCCAAGAGATTGCTGAAATAAGTAAGACCTGTTGATGACATCTTATAATGACGTCTATGATTTAATGATTATTAAGGAGTTGGGATATATTCAAAAGTTGAAGCATGACCCCAATGGATGGAAAAAGTGTATACAATGCATTCAAAATGGATGGTATGTCTACTGTGCAAAAAATTTTCGTTTTTTTCTAAATTTATGTCATTTATCCTAGTATTTGGTATTGGTAATGATAGAGTATTGTCACAAATAGGCAATATCTGCAAATTTATAAAAAACCAGGAGATATGGCTTCGTGCCATGCATGAATATAACATTATATACTTTTCTATTTTAAGGTTTTAAGCTATAATTCGCCACTTCTAATACTTTGTTTGAGAGTTATCCGCTCTTACATCGGTTGGGTTGATCTGAAATTGCTTTATAATAATGCCACCATTCCCATTTTTATTGGTAAATTTTTATCATAAATTTGATTGTAATATTTTTTAGTGAATCTATTGAACTATATAAAGGACAATTATAGAGTGCCTACAAATTATGGATACTAGCATACTAGCATCATTAGTGTTTGATGCGGTTTCAAGGAAAAACATGGATTGTGGGAAGAAATTTGAGCTGATTTCTGCATTATGCTTTATTTTACAACAAAACAATTTAGTTTTTTTTTTTTTGAGCTTTTCTCATCTCGCCCAGCTAATTTTGGGCTTACTGATTCAGGTGCTGGAGAGTGCAGTAACTAAGTGTGAATTGCCGTGTATCAATGTTCTTTATTTCGAGATTGCATGTCGCTATGACAAATTGTTGCAGACCTATTCAAGTCCTTTGCTGATCATTTTGGTTAGAATTTGGATCTTAACTCTAAACCTTTTTGTTTTGCAGCTACAGCTTAGGTAATTTACTATTAATTACTACTCTCTCCATTAAACAATTTCCCATTTTTTTAAGATCTAGAAACTTCACATCGACTTGCTTTTTTTTCTTGAAATATGATTTTGTTTGCAAAAACTGATCTTGATTCAGGAAGCACTTTTTGACACTCTTGGTGTTCTCCAAAAATCTTCGAAACCAAGACATCACTTGTTTTGGTTGTTTTACCGTTTCGTCAGGACTCATGCGTAAGTGGATTTTTTGGTTGTATTTGTCACGGAGAGCGATTTTTAGAAATTTTAAAGGTACTTTTAAAAGTAAACAAAGTATATGATTTTTCCAAGTATTTTTTTTAGAGATTTCGGGGGGAAACGAGCAGCAAACTTCATCATGAATCTTACACCTTTCTATATGAATCTGTCGCAGGACTCTTGTCACCCTCTGATTTTAAAAAATGATGAGGTTACTGTGATTTTTGAAATCATGTACTCCTATATATTCGTAGGGTATCTAAATTAATTTTCAGTCGTAATATTTTCAGATTGTATTAATTACATAATCATCTTTTAGTCTATTTGTTTTGCATCTTCCACATTGTTTTTTAATATTGTGAATTATTAAGCTATTTTGGTATACGAATACTTCATACCTCATCCAGAAAATTTTGGATTGTAGTTTATACCTTAGTAATGTTTAAGTTGAAGACATATTTAATGGTATCTCTATCTTATGCGTGTTGCAAGTTTAATTCATTCATAAAAACCTGAAAAGAAAGTTGAGGCAAGGGTAGAACCAAATTTAGGTAATGTGATCAATAAACTCCAAAAATCAAAAATTTCATGTTCAACTCACTGAAGATCAAAAATCTTAAAATAATCGTCCATAGCAATGAAAGTTATGCGGAGAAATACCAATGCATAAAAATTGTTTATATTTCATTGAGGCGGACGTTCATGTTGATAGTAAAAAAGTTGGCGCACACGCACATACAAGAAGTGCTGCAACATTATCAACAGCAAACTAACTTAATCGTGTATTGCATGTAAGCTATTTTAAGCCCAACATCCCAAGATTTCCTTTCCCCAATTAAAGTCCCGCAAATTTATTAGTGGTCTAAAAAATACTCTTTTGAGAAGTACTTACCCTTGCCTCAACTTTCTTTTCAGGTTTTTTCGAATGAATTAAACTTGCAAAACGCAGCAGGATGTGACGCCCTACATAATTTTATAGAGCAGTTGATATATTGTTTTACCTGCAATATCTGCAAGGTACCTCACTTCCTTCGAAGATTTTGGCATGATACATGACTTTTTGGGTCTGCTTCAACAAATCTTCACTTATAAGGTATATGAGTTCTGTATGAGTACCTTTGTCCCGTTTTCATGTGTGTTTCTTTTTAATTTTATTTGCCCAAGAAATTATGTAGTTAATAATTCATCGTATGCGTTATATTGTTCATCATATTTAATTCATGTTATGGTTCAGTTGATTTAGTTAAATGGTTATATTTTAGCAACGTTTACTTGAAACTGATCTGGATTCATCTTCTATATTTCGCTACTTATGGAACGCACAACAAAGAGCGATTGACATGTCCTGCGGAAAATATGCTGAAAGATTGCTTGCTTATGGTCTAGCTTACTTACAAACAGTTTGGTGACGAATGATTTAGCTCCACTGTTGACAAAATTTGGTATTTCAAGTCTTCTTCATCACTACATTTCATCAAATTAAAGATCTAAGACACTGAGTTCTTGACCTTAACATCAAAGGAAGCGGATTTGTTCATGAGTTTCTTCGTTCTCTCACCAAGTCCGTGGACTCAAGCGACATGATAACGCATAAAATGGCATTCCAAATTCTCAATAAGTTATTTATTAATGCATCGAAGTCTGACTCCAGTATTCTCGTTCAGTGTTCTTGGGATGAAGTTATTTCGACTGGAGTTGAGGTAAAGGTTATGATTGTTATGAGGAGTTTTAATTTTTTGAATTTTCTGTGGATAATGTCATAAGAAATCTGTAAATATGAAATCAACAGGTCCTCACACCAATTTGGCACTTGCAGTTTTCCAAGTTTTAGATTCCTACTAATAGAAAAATTCTATGAACAATCATTGCTCGCTGCTCCGGAACGAAATTTATATCTTCTTTCAGAACTTACAACTCCATCTGCATGAAAAGTTAGTGCATGATTCTATACCCCAAGTATGATTTCGGATATGTATCAGCACTTCTTATGTGTCAGCACTTCTATTTATCAGCACTTCTTCCCGTTGAAATTACTTAGAAGCTTTAATACCGTCATTTGTACTTTGATGTAAGTGTTTGAATTTCTCTCCGAATTCCTTACGCATGTAACTTAAAATCAAAACTTGCAGGGCAATCATTTGAACAAAGAGGTAGGTGACTTGATTTCTGAGTACAGATTGGTCGGAAATCAAGGTCGTGGTCCCACAAAAAAGAAAGGAATTCCAAAGTAGTCTTTACACATCTTCATGTTTCAACTTGGCTAAAAGTTTTAGGTTATGTTTCTAGTTGTTATCGTCCTAAAAACTATGATTTCATTTTTGAAGCTGTTTGTTATTGTTTTTTTGACTGGTTGTTTTTCAAAATATTTTCAACTCATTAATCATCATTTATATGGTGATAAGTGAATATCAAACGCTTGAGTGAAACATTTATCTAAAAAATTATTGTGCTGTTTGTGAAGAATATTTTATCAAGACAACATCGTCCCCACGTATAAAGGAAAATGGCAGTTGGCGTTGTAGTATCGTTTTTGTTTTACCTTTCCAATCTTTGTAATGGCTTTCATGGTACGGATGCGGCTTATAATGCATACAGCGACTGGTCCGTCGTTTCATCCTGACAGAAGGTTTAAAGCACTCGACAGCATCTCTAAAATATCTTAATGGAGATTTAGATATAAAAAGTTATGCATAGTTCCAAGTTATTTTTTTATCCATACTCTATTCTGTGCGATGCGCACGATAAAGTGTATTGCTTATAATGCATTGAGTTTCCTAAATATTGTACTAGATCTCCCACCTAAGCTAACTAGGAATAGAAGGTTTAGAAATTCAAGAATAGTAATAGTAAAAAGTTACTTCAAAACAGCAGTGCGACGAACCTTACTAGTAAGTTCCAGTGTTTATCGCATGACACGATTATTCCTGTAATGAAGCTGTTTGCGGTATTCCTTCCTCGCAATATGATGCAAACTCGAGATTGCATTTTCACATATTCTTCCAACCGATCTAGTGGTCCGGAACGAGCAATGATTTCGCTATCGTCACTTGCATGCTGTTAATTGTTATAAACTCTCAAATTTCCATATGGATGGGATTTTTCCATATGAATAAACAGTAAACCTCACCTTGTCCAATTTGTACGGTTCTACAGCAGGTTCAGTGACACTCCGTCCTTTCTTCGCACATAGTCGTGCTAGACTAGCTTCCCTGAAATAAATCTCGCTCCTCAAGCACTCTTAATTATATACATATTACTTTAGTATTTTGCAGAGCAATTTATTCCCGTAAAATCAAGATCCCACAAAATGTAGAGGGCCAGAGACACTAACAGGACCGCCTTCAGCTAGCTAAATTTGTACAGTAGCACGATTCAAGTCGTTAATAAATGTGAAATAAAAAGTAAGCATACCAAATAAGATACGTGACATGAAGCGCTTAAGACAAGTCACGATAACTGCACGAAAAGAAAGTATAATGAAGTAGTGCAATATTTTGGGCTTATAGTTAAATTATCTCGCTTTTTGATTTATTATAAAGTACTTAATAATGGAAGGGAACCACTTAATTTCGTCATACTTCGAGCTATCTAACTACTTTCCAACTAACCTGGCAGATCCCATTGGTAAATTCTTTGCTGCTTCTTTCTGGGATTCCAAACCTCTAAGTTCTTCCACTAATTCCACATTCGTTTGAATTAAATGTTGTTCTAAGTCATCAACCGATTCAAACAGTTCTGAGTCACCATCTGGTACTACAAATTTTGTCAAAGTTTCCTTTGCGTTAAACTTCGACGAAAAAGGATCCATAAGCCAATGAACACCGATGATAATGAAACGCGTGTATATCACAACGGGATTGATCCGTCCTGCCAATCCTTCAAATTTCCAGTTTATACTACATAACATCTGGAGTGGGAAATCTCAGACCAATAACTCCATATAGCATATAAATTCGAAATCCCTGATTTGTGATTTGTGAGTAAAAGCAAGTGTGTGAAACAATACTCCGAACCACGTCTAATCTTGACAAACCGAACCCATAAACTGACAAACTGAACCCCACCTCAATCCTCTTTACTCATAGGAACACTAGTGCTAAAATGCTGCAAAAGACCGTGTCACAATATCACCCTCTATAGTTCTAAATAGACGCCCCCCCACCCTCGCTGTCGTCAACATACCCAATAACCGCTTAGATTCTTACGTATGACGTCGTATAAGACTCACAGTTGTGTCATCTTCCTAGCGCTATCACTCAGAAAGTGAGCACCACTGTTCCACAGTTCTTAAATCTCTCGCGCTCAACTTTCCTTCTCCATACATTTCCTGGACCAAAAACAAACTTATATAACCTGAAAATTCCGTTTCTTACGGTATTTCATATAGAATTTTCTGCCATACATAAAATCCAAGTCTTGATATCTCAAAGGAATGCTTTATTAGATCAGTTTTTGATCTGTGTATTTTGATCCACATGTTTTTCTTTTTCCTTTCTCTGCAAAATGGAAAGATGACAATGAACATGCTCAAAAACAGAAAAAAAATAGCTAAAATAGATCAGCTTGAGATTAGAATACTGTGCGTTTTTTGTATGCATGTAATAATAACCGAAATTGACAAAATGATAAGATTGAATACAGTACTGAAACCTGTACAGAAATATACAATTTGCTGGCAGGTCTTTCTGAAAATTTCCAAAGTAAAAGAATAATTAGTCAACATCTATGCAAATTAGCAAAATGGCAACAAAATGCTATGCAAATCATAAACGCGATAACACTACGAAAAACAAACGTCAAGTTCAAACTACATTTACAGCAAGAGGGAATTATACTTAAAATGAACCACCTTAAATCAAAAGACTGCTACAGTGAAACAATACAATGAATAATCCAAATTCAAGGCATACGGATAAAAATTCCGGGAAGACTTAGGAAAAGCCTCAAATAGCTAAGTAAAAAGAGACAAGTGACGAAATAAAATTTTGATAATTACGGGTTTATATGTTTGATCAATTAAAAAATAACAAATTAAAATCTATAGCTAAATGCTTCAAAAACTTTACAAGATTCATCCAATTACACAGTAATGCAAATAATATATCACTATTTAATAATATGAATTCTAAAATAGATTATTTTTAAGTTTGAGCCAAGCTAAAATATTTTAATCGAATCAATTAATAAAATGAACCATAACTATTCACCTCAACTGAGCGGTAGCCGCAGAAAAGGCACCACATAAATGCAACAGAAAGACATGAAACCCGCTATCAAAATAGCGCACAATAACAACGGGCAATAAGACGGCGCTTTTTAATTTATGATTCCATTATCCCAACTTCTATGCTGTTTAAAATTTAACCAAACACGAAAAACTCAAATCCCCACCAAACTTCAAAAAATTACAAGTTTATAATCCTTACAAATACATTTTGAAACTCATGTGGCAATCTAGATAAACTCGAAAAGTGACGCGTCTGCACAGAAGTTTAGGACTAAATGAAACAATAATTTAATTTTAATTCGGTTTACTGATACTGACTGTTGTTTTCAAACTGCGTGACTTATTAGCCATCCACAACATATGTGAAGAACCAGTATCAGTAGTATCAACTGTTGAGTGATTTTTCATATTCATACCAAAAATCCATGAATCCTTTGGTAGAAGGCGATCCAGTACAGGACTGACTAATGGTGCTGTACCAACTAGACGAGAAAGAGTATCAGCTTGACGACTTACAGTGCGTTTTGAACTCCAATCATTCAAACGACTGATAACGCTATCAGTCTGAGCACGTAACTGTTCATCTTCTTCTTCATTTGATGATTCTGAAAAGATGAAACACTTGAAACATAATAAAACGAAAAAATTACAATTGATAGAATCTAAAGTAAATTAGCAAAGAAAGAAAAGGCAATTATAGCTATACCACAAAACCACAACACGGCTAAATTAAAATACGGAATTTCCAATGAGTAAATAACAGTCGCTTAATTTAATCTAATTTTACATGTAAAGTAGACCTTTTATATCTGCAAAGAACAAAGCTAACTGATAATTAAAACATTTCGCGACACAAGAATTTAAACATGCTCTCGATGATCAAGAAAGAGTCATAGAAATGTAACAAATTGTGTCGAAAATTATAATTTAATGAACCTAATCAGCTCCCAGTTTATTGACTTCTAACTCTTACGTCAGAATTGAAGATTTTAATCATAAATTAATAAACTAACGTTATATGATGAGAAAAATAATAGGCTATTATTTAGAAAGCTAAGAAATTAAAGCATTAATACTTCGAACTATTCGCTAAACACAATTCATAGAAATCAGGTATTGAAATTTATTGCAACATGAAAAATGACAATATTTCTTAAGTCAATGAGCGATGGTCTTACTAATTTAAAAAAATTACGACACATCAACAAGATTACCTGAATTTGGCGAAAACTGTGCATCAGAATTAAGAGTAGCTGGTCTGCCAGAAATAGTAGAAGTTAGATGAGCATTTTGGATCATAGACCTTGGTATAACGATAGTTGTTTTTCGGTCACGATTTGAAGTACGCTTGTCGCGATCTGCATCGTCATGTTCACAATTTATTCCCACCCTGTTTACCTTGCACTTTATTTCTTCTGACACATGGTTCACATTTGTTTTACCAGAATCACTTTTAAGTTCTTCTCTATCTCGAGGTAATCGTATTTTCAATTTCGGAACTTTCAAAGGTGGTTCTTGTTCTTCATCGACTTCATCTTAATACGCTATTCAATTTATTACTTATCAAAAGCAGACATCAACTAAGATATGAGACAAATAAATTAAAATAATTACTGGTGTGTATAATATGTGACGATGGTGCATGACTAACTCCAGGGTCTGCAACTGATAATACGTTATTTAGGCGTTTTAAACGCATCAGAAGACGTGGATGAGATTCATTATCACGATCTCCTGTATTTGTGCATTTTATATCGCCTGATTTCGATGCACTGAGTAACTGACCACTAATCTAAATAAAACCACAGTAGGTCATTTTGCGAGAAAACTTCATGACAAATAAGATAATATAAAACGAAAAAAATGCTCACCTCTTTACAGTGAGACTTTGTAGAATTATGGTGTTTTCGATTCTTCTTTTTCTTTTTCTTTTTTTTAGTGCTAGTTTTGCCCAAACAATTCCTCATGCTGCCATCATTCAGCGCAATTTTCAAACGGATTGGTGGTCTTTCTTCTGTTTTAGTCTAAATAACAATTATTAATCCCACTAGCAAACTTTAATTTGAAAAAAATTAATTGAAATTCAACAATATTATAGTAAACTGACAAAGCAGATATGTATGTGCCTTGTTGGTTTTTTAAAAACATGATAAGCGTTCAAGAATTGAGCTAAATAAAACTAACTCCCGTCATATTCTGATCCACCACTCTCGCAATGCCACTCGCATGATTTTCGATCTCAGCTTTGATCTGCTCCTTTTCATTTCCAACTGGAATACAATTCTCAGTGGTTTCATACTCCTCTGTCGTGAAAAGCGACGACATTTCTTTAGTACAAGCTGAAGAGTTAGCCGCATCCGAGTGATCTGCTTTCGTAATAGACGGCGCTCTACTTCTTGCAATGAATGCCTGTTGTTGATTACCAGCAGTGAACGATGAACAAGGCTTCTGATTATGATTTGAATTATTTTTCTTTTGTGGTGTGTAATTAGCGAGAGACGAGGTCAACACAGGTGATGGAATTGAAGTAATCCAATCATTCAGTATATTTGGCTGCAAAAAAATCACGCGCATATAGCTGAATTTTAAGAATTGAAAGTGACATTTTAAAAAGCCAATAAAAACGCTGACTACCGACATTTAAGCTTTAAAAAATTGAAGATTAACCGTTTTATTTTCATTCGTTTCATTATCATTTTCATTTCGAACAATATCAATGAAAAAGCTATCAACATCAGCAGGTAAAGCCTCCTCAATCTCTTGCATCTTATCAGTGAAATCCAAATGTATTATGTTTTCATTAAAGATCGACGACGATGAACCAAAAAAGTTTCCGTTACTACATTTTGAGATTGGACTATATTGACGAGCGGCTATTTCACTCTCCGAAAACTCGTGATATTCAAAATTTAATTTTGGCATGCCTTTTGAAATTAATTCCCTTCGATGTTTTTCCAAATCCATAATATTTACACGAGTACACACTGATGAGATTGCGATAGAGTCTCCTAAAATATGGATGACAGTTAAAAAAGATAAATCAATTAAAAAAACAATTTTGCAATTTCAGTTTGAACTATTTCTATGAAATGTTACGTTTGTCATGGAGAGCTGTCATTCGTTTCTCTTCCTCTAGCAGCCGACGCTCATATTCAGCATCAAGTGAAAGTAGAAGGCACTCTTCTGCTCTATTGTATCCGTTCTGTAAATGCAGGGAGAGAATACAACAGCAGAAAATCGAGAAACTAGAAAAAATTTCAAAAACCAACTTAGTTTTGTGTTCTCACACACTAGTTTCGAAATATAAAATGAAAATATCGAGATATAAAATAAGACTGTAGTTGTGACCATCATTTAAACATAAAAGCTATCTGCATTTACGCGATTATAGTACCAACGACCGGGAAAACAAACCATTGCTTCGTTAAATAATATAGTTCGGATCCGCTGTTCAATACTGTTCTTTTTTCCAGTTAAATACACCATATGTCGAAGACAGTTATAATCAACTGAAGTTAAAATCACATCTATACAATTTCAAGGAACTAGATGAAAAACATTAATCAAATGCAGATAATTCTCATGTGATGTCAAAAATAATTTTTCAGTTGAGAACATACATGTATCTAAAATCTCGGGACTAAGATCTGGTTCACAAAAAGCGTGAAAGGGAAGTAGGCGTTGAAGTACATCAGAGAGATCAAAAAACGGTGAATCTAGGTCCGAATATTGAATAGAACTATGTAATGATTGAAAGTAATCACATAACCTGAAATTAAAACAAAAAAATTTTACTGTCAACGAAAGAAAATCTAATATTTTTCTGTTTCGATTTCCAGAAATTTCATAAATGGAAAGTAGTAAGCATTTCTTTTAAATGACTAAAAGTACAAATGATACAATAAAAACATCAGGAAAACTGAAATGTTATATTAATTTCAAACCTTATGGTTCTTTCATTTCTCTTTTCTGCAATGCAGCTAGCAGCTTCAATTGAAGATCTCAGACTTGGTGGAGGAAGTAATGGCACTGGTGGAGGAGGTGGATCACAAGGCATTTCTTGAATCACATGATGAGATATGGGTCGCTCAGACTGCATAATTGCAGGCTGGTGAGAAACATTTGGTATTGACTGAATGTAACCTTCCCGCGCTTGACTTAGTTGTACTAGGGACTGGCTAGCGGCCGGTCGATATGAGTTAAACTGCGTAGCAGATACCTTAAAAAAGTTTTTCAACTTTCAGTCTCTAAAAACTTCGAAAAAAAAAGTCGTGAAGCATGAATTTGATGTATTCCGACAAACTACAAACTAAAGATGTATACCGAAAAAAACTTCATACCTGCTGCATTTGATTATTATTCCGAACAGCAAACGAAGTATTCTGATATGTTTCATGATTAGCTACGTACTGAGATGAAAGTTGATAAGAGCTATGGTAAGATACTGGAACTCTTGCATTTGATGTTTCATAATTTAATTGTTGTTGATGTCTTTGTACAGGCTGAGTTTGATGTTCATAGCTTGTAGAGGGCTGCACCTGATGAACAACGACAGTTGCATTCGCATTGCTATGATTATTCCTGATATTATTTCTTTGCCTAGTGTGCGTTGTTAATGTTAGTGGCCTAGGATTTACTGCCAGCAACAAGTCTTTGTCCCTCAAATGAAAAACGAATTAAATACAACACTGAACATATCATAAATTGGAAGAAAAATAAGCGAAGGAAGTTTCGAAAACTTAAAACTATCTAAACAAACTTGTGCTGTTGCGCCAAGGCTTCGAAAAATATTTGGGCCCTCTTATTTTCCAGCTCTTTTATTTCTGCCGAATGATCGATATTGTAAGTCGCTTGCTACAAACTTATGCACTAGATAATTTAGAAGAACGAAAAAACGTAGATGATTGGAGCCATGAGTTCAATACCTTAGAATTGGAAAATATAACTGTGAATGGCCCTACTTTTTGCTGAAATTTAGATCTTGTGAGATAGATATAAAAATTCTGAGGTGAACACTCTTACAAGATTTTGTAGGCGTGAAATCTCTTTCGAAAGGCTAGCTACTTGTTCACTATTTTGCACACTCAGCCTCATCTCAATTCCATGAGATGGAGGTAATAACTGATTTAGAGATGCATCCGTAGATGACGCTGCAGCAAGTTTATTAGCTTTTGCAAGAACAGCACCTAGAGTGCCACCTTGATTTGCATTCTACAAAGTGAGATAAATAATGATTGAACACAAAAGTAACTAATTAAGGTAGCAAACACAACTTTAGTGTCACTTCAGAAGAGATGAATAAAATCAATTTCAAAACAAAACTGGTTAGCACTCTTAAAAAACATTAAATATTGTGCCAAATTTACGGAAATCAGTTGACGTACTTTCCTACGGCCATTTCTAGGTTGAGCGTTCCGTTTCTTCGTTGCTACTGCAGCTGAAGTGATGGTCTGAACTCCTGGCTGCTTAAAAATCTCAAATGACATGAGTGTGACTATAAACCTCAGTTAGACACGATATGATAACGACCTTGAACAGTTGAATGCAAGTTAATTGTTCAAGGCGTAAATTTTGAAACAATCTCCAAAAAAGTCTAAATACACAAGTAAATAATATTCCTCACGCAGAAAAACTACCTTAAACATGATTTTTATGTCATTAAAAAATTATATTAAAATGCTGGGGAAAATGATGCTTATTTTTTGATTTTCCAAGATCCTTTATATTCTAAAATTGTGCATAATATTTTAAAAAACTTACAACTTGCGGCGCGCGAGAAATCGTGGGTTGCGATAACAAATGCTGCATAACAGACTGCCCCTGCTGCGGTACACCAGCAGCAACACTGACAGTAAGCGAATTGGGGATGCGAGCAGTGTGCATTATTTGTTGTGAATGTTGGGGAATTTGATGATGCGGGTGAGTTTGAATTAAATGTGGTGTTGTAACTATTGTAGGTTGAGCTGTGCCAACTGCTTGCCCGTTTCCTATAGGATGTGCTACCAATTGCGGTTGTGAAACTTGCTGCACTTGTGACATGTTCTGATTGCTACCAGCTGATTGAGCTTGGGGTCGACAAAAATTTGGAACAACGGCGATAACCGTTCCTGCGCTAGTTTGCACATGCTGAACCTGTGCCTGTACAAACCACTGTCCATTAACAGCCTGGACACAACCTGGAGGATGTTGTTGATGGTGAATTACTGCCCCTGGAATTATTCAGTTTCCGAAATAAACAAAATAGAACAAATTCAACAGATTACACAACATTAAAGTTTTCCGGCACCAATATGTCTTTGAACTTAATTTCAATTCTGACTTACACAAAGACACGGCAAAAAAAGGTATATTGAGATACAAGTACCTAATCACACCACAGAAGCCGAAAAGCAGGAAGAAAATCGATCAACGTCAATAATATAACTAACTCTTCTCTCTTTGCTCAAGCTGCACAAATGATGCGAAATCACCATTCTGCTGTAGACCAGAAATAGATGGCTGAGCAAACTGTAATTCTGTCGGTTTCGTAGGGAGGAGTGGTGAACTAGATGGTACTGTTAAAACACTTAGATCTGAATTTAGCTCATACTGTATGCTCGTGAGCTCGGAAGACTGCATTTGCGGTGAAGTTTGCAGAACTGGCTGCGAAGGACCAGAAGACACTGGAGGGATGCGAGTATTACTCAAAGTGATGAATGTTTGGTGACCTGTTGAAACAGGAGATAACTTTGGTGGCGGTTCGGAAGAATACGGTTCGCGCGTTGGAATGTGGCTCAAGGGTGATGGACAGGACCGCGCGGCCATGGTAACAGTGAAATCATGTGTTCCACTTGAAGCAGGGCTACCACATTTCAGTGATTCATCTTCCAAGCCCAACTGCAGCCATTCATCTTCATACTGCCTGTCAATCAGAAATTGTTATGTGAAATTCCAATTAGAAAGGTAAAATGTATATGACAGGTAAAAATTGTGTAAGGCTAAAGTATTGTTTCGCAATAACCGCTAAAATTTAAAATATTCTAAAGTATTACCTTCCAGAACATTACCCTAAAATACGTTAAGAATATGAATCTCACAAAGCATAGTTCAAGCTTTAAAATCCAAATACACTTCCACTGACTCGAAAAAATTACCTAGCAAGAAGAACCTTAGTAACAAGTGCTCAGATGAAAACTTTAATCAATAATTCTGTAGAATTACAACCAAAATATGAAAAATGGTGAGTTGATGTCTCTTGATATGCAAAATATATATTACTCTGAAAGTTCATCGAAAGCTCGGAACCCGCTTGAAGACATCATAATTCATGAATTACGCAAAAAATTGAATTCTTCGCTCATTACCACTGAAAATTCCATCTTTATCAGGAAGTTTCGTGTTTTGAAATCAATAAATCGAGAATGAAAATTTTCAATCAAAAAAACTGGATAAAAAATAAACTGAGAATAAAAACTTTGAAGCACCAATATCATAAACTCTAAATATATTAAAAACAAAAGACACAATATAGCGTTGGATTTAGAAATGAAATGCATGTCCGTTATATACAAAAAATCTTTAACAGATAAGGAGTAGTCACGTAATTCAATGAGTCTGAATCTTTGAAAAATACGATCTAATTAGAATGTAGAGTAAAAATAAAATATAACGAATAATGAATGCTATGGAACAATTAATTTTCAAATCAAATGCTTTGATTTTTTATGGAAGAAAAATTATGAGGCTTGACAGTTTTGTTAAAGGTAATTACTTCCAACGTTTTTTTTTCATCATTCTGCTTGAAGATCGAAATTGATTAGAACGAGTAAAAAGTTTAAAACATTTATATTTCTTCGTAAATTTGCAATTATTTAATAAGTGAAGCCTAATAGTAATAATGCCAATAAGTATCATGACTTACGTAAAGGCGGCACATATTTCTATCTGTTCCAACCATTAAGAGTGAAAAATGCTAGCAAAATCTGAACAAACAGGCCCTCAATTGAAAAAAATGATAATTCCTATCAATCCACTTACAATCAAATAATATGAAAACCTGGTGCGATAGGGATAGAAGATTTCGAAGAAGCTTGAGATTCATGAATAAAAAAGTGCGTAGCAGAAGAATTTTGAATACTGATGATCTTGTATTTTGATGGTTGGTACGCAAATTATCAGCTGAGATATTAACCTCAAGCTTTGCTAATTGTAAGGAGTGTATATTTTGTACTCAAGTAAATTTTGCTTTAAGGACTGATTTACTACAAGACTGCATGACCCTCACAATGTAATGTGAATGCAAATGATATGATATCAAATCTGCTGAACTGGTGAAAAAAGGAATCATAAAATAGATGATGGTTATAAAATAAGATGAATAAAAATCATCCGTTTATCACCGAAGTTTTTTGCAAAATATTTCAAAAACTAAACATAAAATATGTAATAAATTGAATATATAAGTTTTGGTGATTATATCACGAAATATGCTGACAAAACGAGATACTACAAAACAAATACATCTAGAACTGAACGAATAATGCTAAATACAACAAGTAATTACTAAATTACGTACAGTGAAAGTAATATGAGATACGAAAAATAAATGAATAGTGGCAGAAAATGCGAATTAAGCATTCAGAAACAGCACCAAACTTTTATCTACTTACAACCCATATGGGCTGTGAGCATTCTTTACTAGCGACTTCTCGATTGACTAAAATAAAGCAAAGATAAGTTTAAAGTAGAAGACAAACGTGTGTAGATAAAAACAGTTATGAGTGAGATGGATGAATGCAATGTGAAGTTTGATACTTTACTCCAACTACATGTAAAATGAATCTGATCCATGCTGTTAATTTCCGTTAACTTACAAGTGAAATACTTGAAGCAGATATTAACTACAAGTACATCGATAATTAAGTGAGTCTACAAAATCAATGCCTTAACTCCTCTTCAATTAATCGAAATCTATTCACTATCTATGTAACGCACGCACCGGTGACGCGGGTCTGCATGTTTTGGCACCTCGCCAGTTGCCTTCAGTCCTTCTTTTCTATTTAAATTTTATGCAGGTTTCGTGTATTGCAGCTATTTGCTACATAACTATCGTATGAATGTAATCAAGCGTACTTATTACACATGTGTACAAGTGTGATTGATCTAGTTTTAGTACGAATCAGGTACTGTCTTCTGATCACCTTTACTTCGATTAAAGAATGATGGATGAATAGCGTGAGAGGAATGAGGTGTTATATTCCGTCTACTTGTTAACAACGTCACCAAACAACACTCCACCCCCTACATGTTGATGATAGGGCGTGAACAAACGGAGTATGCAAAATGCTGCCCTACTACAATCTGCATCAGCTGCGTACAATTTGCACGTGATTACACGCATTTTTGGTACAAACTTATGACTCTTCGCTCAGTCAAGCGACCATCTTACACTCAATTCACATATTACCACTTCCATGTGACTATGGTTGAATAGCATGCCCATGATTCCCTTCATACGCAAAAAATCATTCTTAACAGTTGACAGCACCTAGTTCAAAAAACTGTCTAGTTCAGAAACGAGTAGATACGGAAGTGTACTCTCTCTCACACATACATAAAAACACACATGTGCACAGATACAAACACACTGATCCGCAGTTTTTTCTCAGTCTAACTGAGTTCCCCCGACTTTTCCACTCGTCACATCACAAGTACTAGTACGATAAGACTCTAAGTCCTCGCGGTGACCTTTCTTTTGCTTCTCTTCCACTAGTCTCAACGATACCCAAGACATTCACTTCTGATACTGAATTCGGATGCATCACCTTCATATAACGCCTTTTCAATAATGAATCATGAACAATACAACCTCGTGCTAGCGAAGAAATCAGATTCTCTTCACTCACTTATACCATTATAACCAGTTTTAGTGTACAACAGATTGACTGATTAATGCGTTAATGTCGGATTCATATTATGACATTCATGAACATCTCCATGTTCACGTTCGAAATGTCAATCACAAAAGTGAAAATGGCAAAAGCGCTGTCCTAAAATCCGTTTTGAACATAACAGAACAACAAAACAGCGGCACTATAGTGTCCAAACAATGGTCAACTTTCTTCCCACACCAAACCACTAAATCACATGCTGCGATAAACACACATATATATGTACATAAATGATACTAAGCTTCTTAGAACAACAATAATACTCTGTTTTCAAAAACTACACATACACATATCCACAGCACCGACATTGTTACGCCACTATCTCTTCTTCAACTTCCACTATTTTTGCTAATTCGAGCTATATGACCACCTTAACCTTAACCCATGTCAAACATATACACACAAAATATACAGAAATGCGTTCTTTGTACAGCATGAACGCTAAGAGTTGAATATTAAAATCCAGAAAATACGTCATCGAAACATAGTAGCACTTTACGCTTAATATATGTCCTCATATAGAATGACAATGACAAAAAAGAATCTTTTTAAGTCATAGGCCACCATAAATTATACTAAGTACAAAATAACTTGCTATACACATAATATACCAGATCCACACAGAAACGACAAGTGATGTGATAGTAACATAGAATGATACATGGATTGAAAGAAAGAGAATTTTCTTCTCAAATAAAAACGTAGAAAAAACCAATATTAAGCTGGCAACCAGTTGGAAACAATATATATTTGTTCTGAAAGTCAAACTGCTATATTAGTCAAATACTAACAATAAAATGCAACAAAAGTTTACTATTATACAGGGGTCGGTGTTGCTGCTGTGCCTGCATCACCCACGAATTCTACATAAGTAAAGGGGAATGTCCCCTTTTTGCCATTCAAAATTCCCTCGCAAATACCGGATGCATGTACTTTAATTACTTTCAGCAAATCACCTTTCTGTAAAATGAATTATTTATCAAAATGCAAACATAATTTATGTAAGCATATTCTAGTTTTTGTGACAAGACGATTAAATCGGAAAACACAGAATTTAGCAACATTTGAAAGTAAAAATAAAAAAATGGAATTTCTGATTATGCAAACACAAACTAAATATCAAAATGTGTGAGTTATTTGACACTAAATGGTTTTCAGAGTAATACCTTGAGACGCAGTGCTTCTGTATCATATACATTCGGCCGTCTATCCAATATTACACGCGCCAACGTAGGCATGTGTGGCTGCAATCACAAGAACAGCTTAATACATAGTTGCAATTAATTAATTTTGGTACACATATAGCATAGTTTTATGAAAAGATATTTTCGAGTAAATTGCTATTTCGTACTGAAGTAAAATTTTCGTGATGACTAACCGTCTCGCTAGTTGCTCCAGAATTCATAACTTCATCATTGGTGTCACTAAGGACTGATGCACCACTTAAACGGTTTTCCGAAGATACTGAAGATTCAGGACTATCTCTTTGTAGCACAATTTCATCAAAATGAACCTGAAGTGAATCGCATACTGAAACAAGAAAATATTCTCATATGAACTTACATAAACATCTTTTGCAACTCTTCGAAACTAATAATTTTACAACACAGTCAGTGTTCGAATTCAAATTAAAACCTTACTAAATAATTTCCAGGTACAAGACCAACATTGCCCAGTGCATTACGAGCTTCCCACCATTCTTCTTGTGGTTTTTCAATTATATCAAGGATTTCATTTTTTTCAAATGAAAGGTCTGTTGGTTCCTGGCCTTCAAAGGAATACAAAGCTATCATCTGAAATTGTATATATCTGCAGGGTAAAACCAAGCAAAAGAAAAGCGAATTACATGAAATTAAAACAAAGCACAAAAGTAATGCAACAAAACACATTTGTAACAGGAAAAACCTTGCATAGAGAGGCCATGCGCTAATGCATGCATTCAAAGTGTATTACAATCACAAAAACTACAAAACACTGCTAACATCAAACTTCAAAATTATAAACAAAGACTATAATAAATATATTTCCTTATGTAACTGAAACAAGTTCGTAAGTACAAGCAATAATGAACAAAAAAGAGTTACCTTAGCAATTGCAGCTTTCCGAAGTGGACATATCAAACTTACATTAGCCAATATTCTCATTTTGAAATGGTTCAACAATGCAGGAATGTCAACAAAGTATTGGTCAGCTATCTGCAGCAACAATTTCAAGATCTTACAGATTATGTTTCATAACGAACGATAATATCAAGTGAAATTAAAAACCTTTCCAATAAAAGTAAAAAGCTTCTGGGTATAAACTAACTTTGACATGTGTTCTACCATTATCAGCTTCAACAGGTTCAATGAGATAATGACGAACTTGCTGATCACCAGAGAGTTCTTCTCTAAAATTAAACAAAGAAATATTGCATAATGCAGATTTAAGTGCTGACGCACCTCAAAAACAACTTTAAGATGAGAAATGTCGTTAATGTAAAAGTTCACATGAGTACGCGATAAAATAAATACCTAACACTTAAGGCGTAACTACCAGGAGTGGTAGAATCTCGAATGAGAAAAGTGCCTAGATCTGAACTAGACTGGCAGAGTAATCTTGTAGCTTCTTCTCGATCAACATGAAAGTAGAAATTCCTCCAAGAGTATGGATCAAATGAAGAAGATGCTAACTCCTTCATCTTTTCTTTGATAAATTTATCTGAACAAACTTGTTTTTTAGTTTTGGTTTATTTTACGGAAATTTCACGGCCCACTTTGTCTTGATGTTAAATGACATTATGCAAATAAATGGATTAGAAGTCATTTTCATGTGAAATTTGAATAAACTTGTAGTATGGAGTATGTACAAATAGAAAGTCTGGAATGTGGACCTGGGGCAAATCCCGCCAATTTCGACGTTTTGTACGAAGGATGTGCGTGTTTGGGACCATGTACTGCTGATTCTGGTTGTACTTGTCTTCTTTACAGGAAAGTCAGTCATTTGTGTGTTTCGAAATTTTACATAATTTACTTTTATCAACTTCATTTGTGCTCAACGTTAGCAGCGACTGAAATGTTTGTAAGAAGTTACAATTAAATATGAAACATAATTGGTATCTGCCTTGATTATATTTGCCTTCACATTACTCATCATCATTATACTTACCGTTGTATAAATTAGTTTGTGCAGTATCTTCCCCTTTCTTTCAGTTTTATCGATGAAATTTTCAGGATATATTTGTTAATCAAAATTTTATCAAAAATGTTGAAGACCCATTACCCATATTGGAATGTTCAACTAGATGTTCATGCTCATCATTTCCATATAACTGTAATAATAGATGCGTTCAGTTTGGAAATTCACTTTCATTCGAGGTCAGCTGGCATCAAATTTCAAGCATAGTTACTTCAACCTTTAAGAATTCTTGTTTTCGTTCGACGTAATTTGTCCTTTAAAAATTTTTAGGTCTTTAATGCTGGTAAAAAAGGTTTTGGCTTACGGTGTGTAGAGCAGATTGAAAAGGGCCGTTTTGTTATTGAATATGTTGGAGAAGTAATAGGTGAAGACGAAGTTGTAAGACGTCAAACAGACGTAAATTACGTTCTCACAATCAAAGAAGTATTCCAAGGTGAATTACTTTTCATTGTAAGCTTGTGATTGCAAAAACAAAATTACAATTTTTGTTTAAATATCACGTTTTCTTTTTGATGTTGGCATTCATTTTAAAAAATGTATCAGAAGAATGAACAAGTAATTCATTTTTTCCCTGTTTCATAGACACTCATTAATGACTGCACTGAAGTCCTGTACTGAGTAAAAACTTTTGGTTTTGGACATACTTATTACATTCATTATTTTAGATCACACAGAAGTCACTTATATTGATCCATCACTACGTGGAAATTTATCACGCTTTATAAATCACAGTTGCAGTCCAAACTTAGCTATAGTACTTGTAAGGTGTGGTACTCCACAGGTACACGTTGGTTTATTTGCACTTCGCGATATACCTGCGTACGAAGAGCTCACATATAATTATGGCGACATAACCTCTGAATTTAATTTGAAAAAATGTTTTTGTGGCACCACTTTTTGCCGATTGTACCTTCCAACTGCCCGAACCGCAATTTCTTAATGTATGTCTACAAATTTTCTTCATTCAGTTATTGTGTGTAATTTAATAAAGCATTTAGAAATTGTTGACACATTTCAATGTTTGGCTGACTCAAAGCACAGGACTCTGATAACGAATGATGCAATAATAAAATGTGGAGGTTAGCCTTAATTTTTGCTCTGGCAGTTCTTGTCCCGCGCGCAGATTTGTTGCACTTGTCGTTTTCGCTTCTTCTTCGTGGAGTCCATACCGACTTCGAAGGAAATGCTTTCAAGCGTCTTCTTGAGCACTATTGATTGGAGGTATGCCTCGACGTGGTCTGATATACTAATCTCCCTCGCATACCGTTTGTGGAAGTTCGTTACAATCTCAAGTCATCACGTACGGAATTATTTTGGTCCTGCATTTCACCTCTGACCCAAGCTTATTAGCAAGTATGTCCTATTTTCTCTTTTTCCCCATCTCGTGTTGTTAACCTGTCCTGACCAGTGGTGCCAACCTTAATCAGGATTACTTCACGTCGCTTCTTATCATGTATCATGATATCCGGTCGTTCCGCTTTTATTCTGCGCTCATCGACTCTGATCTCAACATTCTCATTAGCGACGACCTCCTGAATAGAATGACTTCGCAAGCACGGGAATGCTTCCAGACCATACTTCTTGCAGAATCCCAAGTGGATGCATCGTAGGACCTCATTGTGTCTTCTGGTATAGTAGTGATGTAACATTTTTTCGCACTGCGTTGCTTGGTGGTCCACCGTCTTCACACGTTCTCCACAATGTTGGTACATGCCTTTCTCACATTTCGTTGTTAACTTTTAAAAGTTCAACATACAAGTTATTGGCCTGAAGTTGCTGCCTTTACTTGGGACTCGTTTTGGTATCAGATAGGTAGTACCTTTATAGAACTACTG